CCCGGCCACAGCAATCCAGGAGCAGGCCTTGAGAGCCTCTAAATCAGCTGTGGCAGCAGCTGCTTTCAGAGACCTCAGCCCACAGACAGTAAGTGGATTGAACAACTGGTCAGAAGGAGATTACAGGGGTCTCTTTGCTAACACTGAGGCAGGACTCTGTTGCTTTCCCATATACTTGGATCAGGGTGGCAGTCCTGGGTGACAGTCCCGGGGTAGGAAGAGTACTAGTACACCAGTGCTTGAGGTCACAGTGGAGAGGGGACGCTCCTCACAGTTCCAGGGCAGAAAAGAGTGTTTGTGGTCACTCACAGACCTGAGCACAGGCCAGGACAGAAGTAAACATCTCTCCTTAGATCATACCAACTTGGAAGAACCGAAAACTTACAGTTCCCTAGAAGTAACTCTGAAAACAGCTGCACAAAACACCTGAAGCTTGGGACAGTGCACTCTCCACCCTGGAAGCAGAGCCCCACTTTAGCAAAGAGTTAGAAGTTAACTACTAGGCTGCAAAAATGAGCAAAGAATGGGAAAAAAACTCTGAGTATTGAAAGTTATTATGGTGACAAGGAAGATAAAACACTAAGTAGAAGACAACAGCTCTAAGCTTCTACATCTAAAACCTCCAGGAAAAAGGGTCTCAGGCCATGGAACAGCTCAAAAAGGATTTTGAAAATCAAGTAAGAGAGGTAGAGGAAGAATTGGGAAGAGAAATAAAAGTGATGCAAAAAATAATAAAAAAAAAGAGTCAACAGCTTGCTAGACATATTAAATACCGAAGAAAATATTACCTTAAGAAACAGACTAGGCCAAAGTATAAAAAAACAAAAACAAAAACAAAAACAAAACAAAAACACAACCAGAAGTCCAGTGAGGAGAAGAATGCCTTAAAAAGCAGATTTGGACAAATGGAAAGAGAAGTCCAAGGGCTAATGGAAGAAAAGAATTCCTTAAAAATTAGAATGGAACAAACAGAAGCTAATTATTTAATGAGAAATCAAGAAACAATGAAACAAAACCAAAAGAATGAAAAAATAGAAAACAATTTAAAATTTCTCTTTGCAAAAACAACTGACCTAGAAAATAGATTCAGGAGAGATAATTGAAAAATTATTGGACTACCTGAAAGCCATGATCAAAAAGAAAGCCTAGACATCATCTTTCAAGAAATTATCAAGGGAAAGTGCCCTGATATTCTAGAATCAAAGGGTAAAATAGAAATTGAAAGAATACATCCATCACCTCCTGAAAGAGATCCCAAAATCAAAACTGCCAGGAATATTATAGCCAAATACCAGAGTTCCCAGGTCAAGGAGAAAATATCGCAAGCAGCCAGAAAGAAACAATTCAAGTATCAGGGAGCTACCATCACAATAACATAATATTTAGCAGCTTCCACATTAAAGGATTAAAGGACTTGGAATATGATACTCTGGAGGGCCAAGGAGCTAGAATTACAACCAAGAATCACCTACCCAGCAAAACCAAGTATAATCCTCCAAGTGGAAGAAATGTATATTCAATGAGATGGAGGACTTTCAAGCATTCTTGATGGAAGGATCAGAATTGAATAGAAAATTTGACTTTCTAATACAAGACTGAAGAGAAGCATAAAAAGGTAAACAAGAAAATGAAATCATAAAGGACTTAATAAGTTTAAACTGTTTACATTCCAACACGGGAAGATGATATTTGTAACTCATAAGACCTTTCTCATTATTAGGGTAGTTAGTATATATAGACAAGAGGGTACATGTGTGAGTTGACTATGAAGGGTTGATATTTAAAAAATAAAATTAAAGGATGAGAGGGGGATGTACTGGGAGAAATAAAAAAGGAGAGGTAGAATGGGGTAAATTATCTCACATAAAAGGGGCAAGAAAAAGCTTTTACAGTACAGGGGAAGAGGGGGGAGGTAAGGGAGAGTGAGTGAACCTTACTCTCTTCAGAACTGGCTCAAAGATGGAATAACATACGCACTCAATTGGGCATAGAAATCTATCTTATTTACCCTACAGGAAAGTAAGAGGGGAAGGGAATAAGAGAAGGGGGTGGCGATAGAGGGAAGGGCAGATTGGGGGACAGGGTATTCAGAAGCAAAACACTTTTGAGGAGGGACAAGGTGAAAGGAGACAATAGAATAAATGAGTGGGAAATAGGATGGAGGGAAATACAGTTAGCAAGAGTAACTGTGAAAAAAATTTTGAAGCAAGTTTCTCTGATAAAGGCCTCATTTCTCAAACATATAGAGTACTGAGTCAAATTTATAAAAAGAGTCACTCCACAATTGATAAATGACCAAAAGATATGATCAATTTTCAGATGAAGTAATCAAAGCTATCTATAGCCATATGAAAAAATACTGTAACTCAAGATAACATTTCAAAATTGCTTTCCAAACCTTAAAGTGATATGTAATTACCACCTGTTATTTTTATTATTAGATGGAGCAATCTCCTCTTTGTCCATCCCATGAAGCAATGGGGGCCAGAATTCACAATTCTCTATTGAGAAAGGATTAGGATATGGAGCCAAAGAGAGAGGTCCCTTTGTTTACCCCAGGAGAACACATAAGGGAAGTAATCAGTGAAGAAACTGACTAGGGACTATTCATTGCTTTGGAATGTTAACCTCCAAACTGCATTTTTACATCTTGTGATCTTTTCATTGTTCAAGATTCCTATAAATGTTATCTCAAGTCATTTTGGATTAGAGAGACCTGTTAAAGGACATGGAAGTACTATGTTAGTTTGGACATCTCTCTCTCTCCCCTATCTCTGTATCTCTGTGTGTGTCTCTTTCTGTTTCCTTCTCTCCACTCCTCTCCTCTCCTCTCCCTGTCTCTCTGTCTCTCTCTCTGTCTCTGTCTGTCTGTCTGTCTCTGTCTCTCTGTCTCTCTCTATATATATATAGAGAGAGAGAGAGAGCTAACCAACGGACTGACCATTGATTCCCATACAATGGCAGCAAGTCCCTCAGATGAGAAAAGAAAGGATTCACAGGCAGAAGACAGTTAAATGTCACACCTGTTGTCAATCGGATCAAGATTGAGAAGGGAGGAAAAGGAAGCCTGACCGAGGTGATGAACTAGGAAAACAGGGTGATGTGGCACGAATGGAAGTCACCAGAGGAAGAGTTTTAAGAGAAGTGAGGTGGAGTAGGGGGTGGGGTGATAGAAGGGTAAGAGATTATGTTCTAGAAAGCTGAATTTCTGAGTTTATGTCATGGAGGTTGAACATGGGTGATGCTGAGGCCAATAATAACAGCTAGCATTTCTAGAGTGCTTTAGGGTTTGCAATGTACATCTCATACGTTCCTCACAATAACCCTGGAAGGTAGGTACTAATATCATCCTTTACAAGTGAGAAATGAATGCAGACAAAGCTTAAGCGACTTGCCCAGGATCACACAGCTTGTAGGTGCCTGAGGCCAGATTTGAACTCAGGTCTTCTTGACTCCAGGCCTAGTCTTCTATCCAGTGTATAATCTAGCTGCAATCATGGATATGACCTGTGTGGCAGAGGTAAAGTGAAGGTGTAGACTGTAATAGATGGAAAGTTTGATTAGCCGGGAGGCTCGAACAGCAGCATGTGTGTTAAAGTCTTCCAGTGTCAGGGGTTGGGAGAGAGAGGAAGTCTGTGAGCCAGGTATTGATCTGCTTGAGAAAAGAGGAAGAGTGATGGAGGTGCCAGGAGATAGAGCAGACAGCCACCACAGGCATCTGGATGGGGTGATCTCCCTGGAGACAGTAAACTCTAAAGGGAAGGCAGCTCAATGCTGGCAGCAGAGGGACTTCCTGGAAGTGGCAGAGAGGAGCAGCCAAAGTATTGGACTTAGAGACAGGAGGAGCTGCATTCCAATCCTGCTTCAGACAATTATCTAGCTAGGTGACCTTGAGCAAGTCATTCAACCTCTGCCTGCCTCAGTTTTCTCAACTGGAAAATGGGGATAATAATTGTGAGGGTCTAATTAGATAATGTATACAAAGTGCTTTGTAAATCTTAAAGTTCTATATAAATGCTAGCCAATATCATCATAATTGTTTTTTATAATAATAATAATAATAACAATCTTAATTCAACAGAGGTATGATATGGATTAAGGTGCTTAGATTCTCCATACAGTACTTGGGAGACAGTCCATTCTCAGGGAATTCAGGCTTCTGTGAGAGCAAGAATACAAGACTCTTACAACTTCAAGGGGGCAGCTAGGTGGCACAGAGGATACAGTGTCATGCCTGCAGTCAGGAAGATTCATCTTCCAGAATTCGAATCTGGACCCGGATACTTCCTGTCTGTGCGATCCTGGGCAAGTCACTTAACCCACTGGGCCTGAGTTTCCTCATATGTAAAATGAGCTGGAGAAGGAAATGGCAAACCACTCCAGTGACTTTACCAAAAAAAAAAAACAAAACAAAACCCCAAAAAACCAAATAAGGTCATGAAGGGTCAGACACAACTGAAAACCACTGACAAGCTTCAAGTGGGAAAAAGTCATAGAAGTCTCCAGAAACTGGGAGGGAGGTTGGTTAGGTTGTGTAATTTGAATTTTGACCCTTGACATTTCAGGTGAAGTGGTGGGGGCAATTCAAACTGGCTCTTGTGAACCCATTGCCAAATTTGCCCCTCTGAAATCAGAAAATGCTACAATTCAGGGCTTGATTTATTGATTGTCTAGACTTAAGAAAGTGTTGGAAAAAATTACTAACACAGATTAAATTTAAGAGTGCATCACGGATATATTTTTTTTGTTTTTGTTTCCCAGGGAGCTTGTTATTACATATTTACTGGCATTTCCCTGCTAGATGAACAGGTTTGCAGACCTGTCTTTAGCCTTTAGGGATACAATCTAATTTTTATTTTTCAAATATGCCTAAGACAAGTTGTGAGGAGTAAGTCCTTTGAGTAGCCCTTTGCCCCAGTTCCCCTGCAGTGCCCTTTGATCCAGTTCTTTTTGTATTAAAGGCCAGGCCAGGGATCTGATTAGGCATAACCAGAGGGCTGTGCAGAGGGAAAGATGTGGAAGACTTCCCTGCTGCCCAAGGTCCTGACTTTGGAGGTCCTGGGCCTCCTGATTCAAGCCCCAGGTGAGTAGCTCTGCCAGGCTGACCCAGAGCAGGGGATGATTTCTGGAGGGACATGGGAGGAGTCCTTTGATTTTCCCATTGGAGATATGGGGCTTGTGCATTGTTCTTTCTCTTATTACCCTCACCTGCTTGGGTGGGTGGGCTGGGGGTGAAGGATTATTGCTAGTTTGATTTCAGGAGGCCAACCTCAGTTTACTGCTGAGAAATTAATGTCCTCTCCATGTGTGTTATGTCCAAAAACTCTTCTATCAGCTGCTGGTGCGGTGGGGAGAAAGAGAAAGCTGAGTCATTTTCAAGGAGGAAGATAAGAGTGAGAACTGGGGAGGATCTTTTTACAGACTGGAACTAGGCCCCCAGAGTTTGCATGAAAAAATGTGAGACAGCTTTATTTTCTCTCTCTCTCTCTCTTTCTTCCTGTAAATATTATTTCTCCAATTACATGTAAGGGTAGTTTTCAACATTTATTTTACATAAGATTTTGAGTTTCAAATTTTTACTCCCCCCTTTCCTCCCATTCCATGTTCCCAAAACAACAAGCTATTGGATATAGGTTATACATGTGCAATCGTGTAAACATATTTGCACATTAGTCATGGTGTGAAAGAGGAAACAGAACAAAAGGGAAAAGCCACAAAAAGACAAACAAAAAAGTAAAAATTGTATGCTTCGATCTGCATTCAGACTCCATAGTTCTTTCTCTACATGTGGATAGCATTTCCCCTCATGAGCCTTTTGGAATTGTCTTGGATCATTGTATTGCTGAGAAGAGCTAAGTCAATCATAGTTAATCATTGCACAATGCTGCTATTACTGTGTACAATGTTCTCCTGGCTCTGCTCACTTCACAGCACCAGTTCATCTAAATCTTTCCAGATTTTTCTGTAGTCTGCCTGCTCATCATTTCTTATAGCACAATAGATTCCATTACATTCATATACCACGACTTGTTCAGCCATTTCCCAATGGATGGACATCCTCTCCCTTTCCAATTTTTTGCCACCACAAAAAGAACTGCTATAAATATTTTTGTACATGTGAGTCCTTTTCCCTTTTTTAATGATCTCTTTGGGATACAGACCTAGTAGTGGTATTATCAGTCACAGGGTATGAACACTTTGATTGCACTTTGGGCAGAGTTCCAAATTTCTTCCCAGAAAGGTTGGATGAGTTCACAACTCTACCAACAGTGCATTTAGTGCCCCAATTTTCCCATATCTTCTCCAATATTTATCATTTTCCCTTTGTGTCATATTAGTCAATCTGATAGGTGTGAGGGGGTACCTCAGAGTTGTTTTAATTTGCATTTGTCTAATCCGTAGTGATTTAGAAATTTTTTTATACAGCTATAGATAGCTGTAATTTCTTCAACTGGGAACTGTCTACTCATACCCTTTTGCCATTTATCAGTTGGGGAATGACTTGTATTCCGATCAATTTGACTCAGTTTTCTACATATTTGAGAAATGAGGCCTTTCTCAGAAATGCTTGCTATAAACATTGTTTTCTATCTTACTGCTTTCCTTCTAATATTTGTTGGGTTGGTTTTGTTTGTGCAAAACCTTTTTAATGTAATGTAATCCAAATGATCCATTTTTATATTTCATAATGTTCTCTATCTCTTGTTTGGTCACAAATTCTTCCCCTCTCCATAGATCTGACAAGTAAACTATTCCTTGCTCTCTTAACTTGCTGATGGAATCCCCTTTTATGTCTAAATCCTGTACCCATTTTGACCTTATCTTGGTATACGGTGTGAGATGTTGGTCTATGCCTAGTTTTTGACATACTAGTTTCCAGTCTCCTAAAAGTTTTTGTCAAAAAGTCAGTTCTTATCCCACAAGCTGGAGGCTTTGAGTTATTTCTTTATTTTTATCCTTCCAAACCACTATGATTATAGAGAAAAAACTGAAGGCCACTTGATGTATGTTAAAGTCACTCCCAGACATTTTATATAGGGCTATACTTTGATCTCCTTTGACAAAAGGGTAGTGCCAATATTTCAGAGGCACACCTGACCCTTGTCCTTCTAATCCAGGCAGAGTATGGCCCTGTGGCCTGACAGTTGAGCAGTCTCTAGCTCTTGGGTTCAAGGATGAAGAGCTGGGAGGAATCTTAAGGACCACTGAATTCAATGCCCTTTCCCATTTAGTCAAAAAAGGAGAACAGGCTAAGGTAAGGGAAAATAATTTAACAACTTCTCACAGGCAGTAAAGGGGAGAGCTATGATTTGAACCCCTATCTTCTGAGCCCAAATGCAGTCCTCTGTGCATCTAGCCTTAGCACCTAATACTTTATTCACATTTGCTATGTTGTTGCTCAGTAGTTTTTCAATCACGTTCACCTCTTGGTGATCCCATTTGGGATTTTCTTGGCAAAGATACTAGAGTTGGTTTGCCATTATCTTCTCCAGCTCATTCTACAGATAAGGAAACTGATGGCAAATAGGTTAAGTGACTTGCCCAGGGTCACACAGCTAGTAAGTATCTGAGGCTGGATTGGAACTCAGAAAAGTTAGTCTTCCCAACACATACTATAGCCCATTGTAACTACTTTCCATCTGCCTTTCTTCTCCTGCCATCTTCTGTCTCCCTTCTTTATCTACTGTCTCTCCCATGCCCAGAAAGCTCTTCCCCCAGTTTAGTTCTGTTGAAGACTCTTCATTAGGGACTCAGCTTGGGCACTGCCACTCGTAGCAGAGCTTTGCCTGACCCTCCTCATATCTTTTCCTAGCTCTCTTCCAGGAATTCTCCTTTATACCTCTCCCTTGTATTGCTAGTTATTGGTACACAGGTCATTGATTTCTAGGAGAACAAAAATTCCTGCCATTTTATGCTCAATTCAGAGCTGAGGGCATTGACCATAGTAGGTGCTCCTTAAGTCTTTGCTCAGTTGGGTCATACTGATAAACTATACGGCACTGATTTTTAGTTCTGTGCTTTCCTAAGCTGGGTTGGGGGTGGGATTGTTGGGGAGCAGTGGTTTAGATCTTGAGCCTCAGGTTCTGCAAACCTGGACAGCTCCTGAGGCAGTGGCAGAGCTGTCTATAACTGCAAATGGCCCTTCTCTGGAGTAAGTTCCCCATCACTGGAGATCTTTAAGGGAAATGAAAAGAATCATGGCAGACATAGGAGGAGGCCTACATTCCCATCTAATGAAAAAATGGTCATGGTAGGGCATTTAGAAGGGGCATGTGGACATCATTTCAGCCCTCTGTCCCTGAGGATTTCTGTCCCTTTTGTTCACAGGGCATCATGCAGATGACCTCATCAGGACCACTGAGTCTGGACAGATTCAAGGGACTCAAATCAGTATCAAGGGGATTGACAAAGTTGTCAATGTTTTCCTGGGAATCCCCTTTGCCAAACCCCCTGTGGGGGCCCTGAGGTTTTCTCCTCCACAACCACCAGATTCCTGGAGCAATGTGAGAGATGCGACTACTTTTCCACCTATGTAAGCACCTTCCTCTATTCTTTTCTTACCAGATAAGCACAGGGCGCCATCTTGTTTTACTCACATTTTGTCTGTCTATGCTCTGCACACAGTAGGCATCTGTTAAGTATGTGTTGAAGGCATGAATGTTCACTGGGCTCAGATAATTGCTTAATGATAACAGTTCATGTTTATTTGGATTTTAGAGAATAACAGACTTCAGAAAAATACTGAGGCAGTTAGTATTGAGGCACATATTGCTACAGATAAGAAAACAAAAGTTAACAGAGATTAGAGGCAACTGAGTGACTCAGAGGATAGAATACTGTGCCTGGAGTCAGAAAGACCTGAGTTCAAATCTCACCTCAGATACTTACTAGCTATGTGACCTTGGGCTCACCCTCTTTGCCTCAGTTTCCTCATCTGTAAAATGAGCTGGAGAGGGAAACGGCAAACTGCTCCAGTATCTTTGCCAAGAAAACCCCATAAGGAGTCACAACAGGTCAGACAGGACTGAACAACAACCGAGATTAAGTGACTCACCCAAGGTCACAAAGCTAGTAAATAACAAAGCCAGAACTCACAGACTGATAGGCTCAGAAATCTAGAGGTCATTGAATCTGACACCTGGTTTTGTTTTTAAGCAGTTTTAAGTTTTTTACTTTGGAGACCACACTTATTGCCCATTCCCTACCCCAGCCTCCCTCCTACCCCTAATGCTCCTCTGTAACAAAGAAAATCCAACTGACCCAGTGGTCAGTAGTGATGTTCTTGTTAAAATGTCTCTAGTCATGTTCTATCTTAGTCTAGCTCGACTTTCATTGATCTGCAGCAGGTTTCATGAGTTCCTCACATCCTCTCTTACAGTGCAATCACATTCCAGGACATTCACTCCCTTTATTCATTCACATTCACATTATTATTATTATATTATCCCCATGCGATTCTATTCAGATCATTCACCTCTTGCGTTTTCCAGGTGTTTGCAGGATGTCGCTACCCTAGAAAAAATGACAAGGACCATGAAAATGAACATCCCTCTTACTGCCATTTCTGAAGACTGTTTGTACCTCAATATCTATGTTCCTGACCACGCAAAGGAGGGGACTGGATTGCCAGTAAGCCAGATCTCTGTACCTTCCACAATGGGGAATGAGAATACTAAGGCATGAGAACTATGGGACCTTGGAGGTCACCTCATTCCACCAGCATGGGAACAGTCTTCCTCTCTATATCTCTGACAAGTCATCTAGCTTTCCCTGAAGTTCTCCTGGTCAGGGAGCTTACTAGTTCTCAAGGCAATCCACTCTACTTTTGGGCAACAACTTGCATTGTTAGCAAATGTTTGCTTCTGTGAGGCTAAAATCTGTCTCCTTATACCTTCAAGACATCTAGGTGGCACACTGGATAGAGTACCAGGCCTGGAGTCAGGAAGACTCATTTTCCTGAGTTCAAATCTGGACTCAGACACTTACTAGCTGTGTGACCCTGGGCAAGTCACTTTATCCTATTTGCCTCAATTTCCTCATATGGAAAATGAGCTGGAGAAGGAAATGGAACACCACTCCAGTATTTCTGCCAGGATAACCCCAAGTTATCATGGGTCATGGAGAGTTGGACATTACTGGAAATGACTGAAATAACTTCAGGGAATTGTTTCCATGACCTGGAATGATATCAATTTCTGCTACAGGCTATTATTGCTATAGGAAGAGAGCAAAACATTGAGAAAGTGTGACCTCCCAAACACTTCTTAATCCTGTCCAGAGCTATCATTCATTTCTGTGGGCAACTCTACTATGTGGAAACTCTCTCTATTGATGAGGACACGCAACTATTTTGTAACTCAGAGTCTTGGCTTGACTCTTTTACCGAGAAACTAAGTAGCTTCTTTGTGGCCACATATTTCATATGTGCCCAAGGCAGGACTCAACCCAACCCTTCACTCCAAGGCTAGTCCTCTATCATCTACACCAGGCCTCCTTCCTTAAAATAAATGATAGTGAATAAAACTACTCAAATGTCATCTCCCCATGAAACCTTCTCTGAACCTCAACAAACCAACATTCAATTCAACAGCCATTTCTACAAACCTGGAGCCCTTCTCATTAGTGCTGGGGACACAAAGAGTGGTGTGGTTTCTCTCACCTTTGAGCTATCTTAAAGTTATTTTGGATCTTCCTTATGGCACTTATCATATACGTTATGACACTTAATACACACAATGTTGTTCCATCATTTCTCGGTTGTGTCAGATTCTTCATGACCCCCTTTGGGGCGTTCTTGGCAAAGGTACTGGAGTGGTTTGCCACTTCTTTCTCCAGCTCATTTTACAGATGAGGAAACTGAGGCAACCAGGGTAAAGTGACTTGCCCAAGGTCACATAGCTCGTGTCTGAGGCCAGATTTGAACTCAGAAAGATGAGTTTTCCTGACTGAAGGCCAATCACTCTGTCTAATATGCCACCTAGCTTGCCCAATACAGACTCTATCAGTCTTTCTTACAGTTTTTGATCCATATCCTATCCTTGCCCTTTCATTGACTGAAAGTACTTTGAGAGCAGGGACCTGGTCTTATTCAAAATACCCATCACAGAGCCTTGCACATAGTAGGTGCTCAGTAAATGTGTTGAATGAATGAATATACCACAAAGCCAGAGCAAATTCCTAAATATAGGATTATCAGAGTTGTTTCCATAAAAGGAACTTGGAGTTTGGAATACTCCAGGGCTTGGAGGATGTGAAACCTGGAGGAAATGCCACCCATGCTGGTCCTGCAAAGAGAAACAAGGAATGTACTTCCATTGCTTTCAGGAGACTTAGGGGCACCTGGAAGGAAGGAGTGAGCTGGAATAGATGTGAGGTTGCCTGGTTCCATGGGGCAGAAGACTTTTGTGCAAGAGAAACTGAGCTTGATCAGGGAAAGCTCAGTAGAACTGGGTTCAGACCAGCTATACTAGAAAGAATGGGATCTTACAGTATTCTTCATTGTCAGTACCCTAATAGTTTGTATTTTGTATGGAGGGTGGGAAGGAAGATGGTAGTAGCAACCAAACCACAGAATGTAGTGAAGAGAGAATAGGACTTAGACTGAGAATTTCTGAGTTCCAAGCCCAGCTCTGCCACCAGCTGTATGACCTTTTGCAAGTCACTTAACTTCTCTGGGCCTCAAGTTCCTCATCTGTCAAATGGGGGTGTTGCACTAGGCAGTCTAAAATCCCTTTCAGCCCTAAAATTTATGATTCATAGGGAGCTGATTGTGCCAGGAAGAGTCCAAGGAGGATCTGAACCACCTCTGAGTCAGGTTAAGTGGGCTCTTACCTGAGATGTTCTGGTGCTTATCCTGTCAGCTCTTGATATACAGTATCGTGATAAGTGAATTCACTCACATTTAGAGCTACTTTAACATTGGTCACAAGATAACAGGCTACAGTATTCTCCTGTTGAGCAAGGGAGCATCAGAACTATGCTTGGTCGGATTTGTTCTGGTAAAGAAAACCATGTCTGATCCCTGCAGGTGATGATGTGGATCCACGGCGGTGGTCTCATCTTGGGCTCTGCTTCCATGTGTGATGGTTCGATATTGTCTGCCTCCCAGAATGTGGTGGTGGTCACCATCCAGTACAGGCTGGGCGTCCTTGGGTTCTTCAGGTGAGATTTGACCCCAGTAAAATGTGAGTACCAGTATTTTTTCACTGATTAGCTCCCAGGTCTCTGAGTGGTTCAATGATGATAAACATTAATTCCTGATTAAACATCTCTCTTGCTCCCCCTACCTTCCCCACAAGCTAATCATGACATAGTAGAAAAAGTACTAGATTTGTGGCTAGAAGACCCAATTTCAAATGATGGCCCTGCTTCTTATGACCAATAAATTCACTTCTTCCTCAGTCTCAGATTCTAGAAAGAAAGAAAGACAGACAGACAGATAGATAGATGGGTGGGTGGGTGGACAGACAAATGGACAGACAGATGGATGGATGGATGGATAGACAGACAGATGGATGGATAGATAGATACATTAGCAGACAGATAAGAAGGTAGATAAACCATTTATTAAGCACCAGACACCGTACCAAGTGCTGGGGTTACAAAACAAGAAAACAAGATGGTCCTATTGAGTTAACCTAACCCCAGATTGCTGTACTGCATAGTAATAAAGCCCATGGTGACATTAGCTTTCCAAGTACCTATTTTCTGTAATGTTATACTCTAAAGCTACCTACCCCTTTCACCGTGCACTCTAGAATGTCTGCTTTGTAAGTAACAAATTGTTTACATCTTTAACCCTTTCCTTTCTTACCCCTTCTAGTGATGTGTACCCACCAAACCCTGGCTTTTTTCTAATGACACAGCTCTCCTGGTGACCATTTCCAGCACTATTTGCATTTTCACTCATGCCTCCATCACAAGGAAGCCAAAATACACCTTGTTTCCCTCTACCACTTCCAGACTCTCACTCTACCACCATCATTAAGCAAGTCTCCTCCTTTGAGGGTCATTCAATTCATGTTCATCACCCAATCAAGATTCTAGTAGCTGTTATTTATCACATCCTCTGGGACACTCTCCTTCCTTTCTCAATGAGTTCAGTGCCTTGTTTCCAGTCTTTCTCTCTTTCCCAACTCCCATCTTCATAGTGAGGGACTTCAACAATCATCTTGACATTCCCTTCGACATTCTAACTCCCCAGTTCCTCAGTGTATTCATTTCTCATGACCTACTCCTCTGCCCCACCTCAGCTAGATACAGGGATGGTACCACCCTTGATTTTACCCTGACTCATGAGTGCTCCACTTCTATATTTGTTAACTATGAAATTCCTCTATCTAGTTATAATCTCTTGTCGTTCCACTAGATTCTCTGCCTGGTAACCCCTAACCCTGTTCTTCATCCTCACCTTGGCCTTCAATCCCCCCACCTCTCAGTTCTTTCCTAAGCCATCATCCCTGCCTGGTTGTGCTCTCTTTCCTTCTCCATCTTAACTCCTTAGTGAACCATTTCACCTCTACACTAATACCTTATCCTATGACAAATCTTTCCCTGCCAAACCTCAGCTTTGAATTACTCCCATCAGCCATTCTTTTTGCTCTTCTTTGCATACTGCTGAATGAAGCAATAGAAAATCATGAAACCATGTTGTCTGGGTCCATGCAGATTAAAGTTACATAATTTTAACTGAGTCCTGACTCTGGTAAGGCAACATTTTTGAACCTAAATAATCAATTCACTGTCTCATTCACCAGAGTGGCTTTTCTAAACCTTCACATCCCTCTTCAAATTTCTCATGGCTCCTCCTCTCCTCACCATCTTAACTCAGAACTTTGCTTTATATTTTGCTGAGGAAAAAATGAGCCACCCACTAAGCTCCCTCATATCCCCTCCTCCTTATCTTACATTGATCAGATTACTATCTCCTCCTTTACCTATCTTACATGAAGAGATGAACCTTTTCTTCACTTCAGCTAAGCTTTCCACACACAGGAATTATTCCATTCCTTCCAGTCTTCTCCAGAAGATTACCCTTTCTATCATTATCACTTTCAAGATTCTTTAATCTTGCTCTCTCTCTCTCTACCCCTCCCTCCCTCTCCTCTCCCCTCTTCCACCTCCAACCTCCACTGACTGCTTCCCTACTACCTACAAACTTGTCCTTGTCTCTCCTCTCCTCTCAAAAAACTTTACTGGATCTATTCATCCATCCATTCATCCATCCATCCCCAGTAGCTATCATCCCATACATCTCCTCCCTTTTATGTCTAGACAGTTTGATTCTTTTTTCTTACTCTCTTCAACCCCTCCTGTCTGACTTCCAGTCTCCAGACCAGAGACCTACTGTATCCCATCAACAACTATCTCAAAATGTGTGTCCCATTACAAACTCAACATTTCCAAAACTGAACTCTTTCTCTTTCCCACTAAGCCCACCCCTCTTTATAACTCCCTCATTATTTGTTAAAGGCACTATCATCCTCCCAGTCACAGGCTTGTTATCTACATGTCATTGTCCACAACCACTCATTTTTCCCCTGTATCCAATATGTTGCCAAGTCTCATTGACTCTACCCTTGCTACATCTCTCATATACACCCATTTCTCTCCTCTGACACCACCACCACTCTAGTGCGGGCTCTCACCGCCTTACACTTGGACTAATAATGCCTGCTTGGTTTGCCCCCTTGCCTATTCTCTCCCTGCTCCAGTTCATCCTCCACTCAGCTGTCAGTGATCTTCCTACAGCACAGGTCAGACCATCACCACCTGATTCAGTCAATCAGTCAGTTAACAAGCATTTTTAAGCCCTTATTGTATGCCAATGACTGTCTTAAGTGCTTTGGATGCAAAAGAAAGTCAATTCCTACCTTCAGGGAGTTTAATTCCAATGGGAGACAACGTATAAATAGCCATATAGATACAAAATATATACAATGAAAAGGAGAAGCAATCTCAAAGGGAAGGTGTAACAATTGTGATTTTTGAAATACATTGTGTCATGTTGCTATAAGTGATAGAACTCCAACACAGAGTCACAGGGTAAGTGGTCCTAAGGACCATAAAGCATTTAAGCAGTAGCAGAGGGCCAGTACTTTCACAAGCCCTGACTTATTCTGATCCTGTGACTTACCTCAGCTCCTGAATGGACCCCCAGCTTGACTGCATGACTGTGTGCCGGCACCCATTCTTGGAGTCCCGGAGTCCCACATCAATAAGGGATCCTGGGGAACTTCCCTCCCACACCCGGGTCTGATTAAGAGGGCCCTGTCTCACGTGTTGTGCTGATTGTCCCAACCAAACCTCGCTTTAAGGGATGACTGTCTCACTCCCCACTCTGAGTGTGTACTCCTACCAAGATCTTGCCCCTGAACGATTCTCCTGCATGTGAGTACCCAGAATCTCTGTCAATGCAGATTGTTATACAGTTGTGTGTGTGTGTGTGTGTGTGTGTGTGTCTTTCATTTTTGCCTGCTTGGTTCACCACATAGTAATAAAGCTTAGGCAATTGGGGTTAATTGACTTGCCCAGGGTCACACAGCTAGTAAATGTCAAGTGTTTGGTCTGAGGCCAGATTTGAACTCAAGTCCTCTTGACTTCAGGGCTGGTGCTTTATCCACTGCACCACCTAGCTGCCCCACCAATTTTCTATAAAGCCTCAAATTGGGGTCCTTGCTCTGGAAAGCCCTAGCAGTGAGGAGTGTGTTGGGGGAGGGGGAGGAGGAAAGGCTAGATCGCTTGAAGAAGGTGGGATTAGAGCTGTCTCAGATTCCTTCAGGGAATTCCAGTCATGGGGATAGCAAGGGAAACTCAGACTTGGAAGGTAGAGAGTTGTGTGTGAGGACAACAAGGATAGTGATGTTGCTGGATGGCAGAGTTCATGGAGAGGAGCCTGGCCTCCTCCTACCTCTCTAGTTTTCTCATACTCTTTCACATTCTCTACCTCCTTCCTCTTCCTTGAACAAGATATTCCATTCAATCAGTTCATTTTCACTCCTCCTCCTTCTGGCTTCCTTCAGGACTTGGTGCTAATCCCACCTTCTGCAAGAAGCCTCTCCCTGACTCCCTTACTACCAGGGCCTTCTCTCTGGGGTCATCCCCAATCTCTCCTCAATAAATCTTCCTTGGGCATAGCTGTTTGCATGATGTCTCCCTCATTAAACTGTAAACTCCTTGAGGACAGGGACTATGTTTACCTTTCTCTGTTTGCCCAGAGCTTGGTATAGTGCCTGGCACGTAGTAGGTGCTCAGTAGATGTTTCTTGACTTGACATTCTAATAGGGGAAGAGAAAACAGAAAGGAGAGTGGAAAAAAGGAGGGGGAAGGGAGAGTGGGGACAAAGTAGCTGGGGGGGAGGTGGAAGAGATCAGGGAGTAAGCTGGAAAGGAAGGAAGTAGCATGATAGAGGCTCCCCCTGGAAGGCACAGTGAGTCATGGAAAGAAGCATGCACTAGGAGTCCTTTGAGTGGGGGAATTCAAGATCTGTCTTAGCAGTTTACATGTGTAAAATCAGAACAGCAACAACTAGCTTTTGTTTGGTCCTTTAAGATTTATAAACCACTTTATAAATTGTGCCTCATTTTATCCTTGCAATAACTCTGAGAGATATATGCCATTATTATCCCCATTTTACTGATGAGGTAACTGAGTCAGAGATCTATGTGACTAGCCCATGGTCACCCAGCTAGTAGATGAACACTGGTCTTGCCAGGTCTAGGTCCAGCAGTCTATCCACTGCATCATCCAGCTGGAGGAAATGATCTTTAAATCTCATAATGCTATTAACCTGGTGTTCTTCTTCTGAAGTCTCCAACCTTGTCTAATATCTGGCTTTCAGCACTGGGGATGAGCACGCACCTGGCAACTGGGGTTACCTGGATCAGGTGGCTGCCCTGAGGTGGGTCCAGAAGAACATTGCCCACTTTGGAGGAGATCCTGGCCGTGTGACCATCTTTGGCGAGTCAGCCGGGGGTACAAGTGTTGCCTCGCATGTAAGTGGTAGAGGCACGACCCCGGCCTGAATGGGGCCTCTTCTAGCCAAAACTAGTCTCACAGACCTGAGTTCTTCTTTCTCTTCTCTTCTCCTCCCCCTCTCAGAACTACCAGGGCTGATGACTTCTTTCTCTAAAGCTGGCACCTGCGCTTGCCTTTCATTTGGATGTTCCACTACACTCCCTTGCCCTAGTCCCAAGTAATTATCTAGGCCCTTCTTCCTCTAACTTTACTGGAGAGAGAAGATGAGTCATCCCTTTTTTTGTTTAGAGCCATTTTTTACAGGTATTTGGAAGGGTTTGGGAGAGAGCTCAAGCAAGTCACTGCTTTTACTCCTTGAGTTATCCCTTTTTAAAAGGTTTGCTAACAACTTTGAGCAAGAACAAATTAAATGTACAGGGTAATGATGAAATAATTCAAGGCCCAGTGAATCCCAGATTTCACCAGTGAGGTTCACCTCTTCCCAATGCTGCTCAGAGCCTCTCTGTGCCTTCCCAGGTGGCATTTGTGACCAGCTGTGGCTGCAGATCTGCTCTCTCCAGTCTTTGCCGATAAGCCTCTGAGAGCTTAGCATGGCTGGCCCTCATATGACAGACATAAAATCCATCAGGGGGCTAACAGACATAGATCTTTTGCCTTGGTAGCCCTCCACCCCCAGGAGTTTACACATCACTGACATAGCCTCCTGGATGTGATAAGGCATGGGAGGAAGACTTCAGTGGAAGGATAATGCTAAAAAAAATAGCTCATGGGAAAGTGGCAAATTCCTATTATATAGAAGAAAAACTGTTGGATTTAAAGTCATTGATCCTCGCAATAGTCCTGGGCATTCTCATAATTAATAAACAAAGAATAAGCAATAAATAATGTGATCTTGTAATGGGGCATTGCATAGGAAAAGCATTGCTGGGTTACAGAGCACAAACATCTTATCATACAAACATCTTATCATACTTTGTTATTGAACCACCCAGAAGGTCTTGGACTACGGCCAAGGCTACTTGGCCCTCTTTCCTGTCTAACTTTTTTAGGCCTGGTTATACCAAAGGTCCCATAGAGTGGCCTCTGTTTGAGACTATCCTATATGGTTAGCATAGGGTATAGCAGGGTAAGTAACAGTCTTGGCTTTCGGACTCCCAGTCTTCTCTGTGTCTGCTAAGCCAGGAGTGCTGGGCCTCCCCATGACTCCTTCCTCCTCCCCTCTGCTGTGCTTTGCTCCCCAGGTTCTGTCCCCCATGTCCAAAGGCTTGTTTCACAGAGCAATCATGGAGAGCGGTGTGGCCATCCTCCCTGGCTTGATTTCTTCCAGCTCAGAAATGGTTATGAACGTAAGTTCCCTGTACTCTGTTCTTTGTAATCCCTCTTATCCTTCCTTAGGCTTATTAGCCTCCTAACCACATGGCCCAGTGTCCCATTGGCCTTCTGGCTCTCCTGAGCTATAAGAAGGTGCACTGGAATGCCATTGAATGTTCAAGCTGAAGGTTACCATAGAGATCATCTAGTCCGACCAACTCATTTTAGAGAGGAGGAAACTGAGGCACAGAGAGGAAGGATTCAGTTCCTAGCTCTGCTTCTTCCTATGCCTGTGATTTTAGGTAAGACATTTCCCTCTTGGGGCCTCAGTTTCTTTCTCTATAAAAGTAAATTCAATTAGATGGTTTATAAAGTCCCTTCTGGCTCCAAATTCTGATTTCCGACACCCCCCAGAACAGCAGGAAGGTTCCTCAAGGGGGCCCAAGTACAGGTTAGATGGAATGATCTGTATGCTCCCTTCTAACTCTCTAGTTCTGTAATTCTGTGACTTGTCCAAAGTTTCACAACGAGTTGGTGATTCAGCTGGGACCAGAATTGAGGTCTGTGAGCCAATATCATGCTCTTTCAACATACCAGACCCCATTATGTGTCCTTTATGGATATTTATGTCCATATAAGAGGAAATGGTAAACTCTTTGGGAGCAGGGACTGTGTCCTTATAACCTGCCCCTGCCCATCCCCATTCCCATTGGCTGGCACTGAGCTCTGTACAGAGTAGGCTCGTGATTGGGCAACTCAACCCCTTTGGGAGTCAGACAGATTCCAACTTGGTCTCCTTTTCACTGCTTCATCACCTATAGAAATGATCCTTTGCTAGCTTACTGATGAGTATGAAAGGATCCTTCTATTGTGATACAGGTCAGGGGTTCCTCAATGAGAATATTAACTCTTTGTGGGTGCTTCTTTGCAGATCATTGCCAATCTGTCTGCTTGTGATGGACACAGTTCTGCCTCCATGGTTCAGTGCCTTAGAAGCAAATCTGAGGGAGAGATCCTGGCCATTACCAAGGTATGAAAGCTGAGAAGCAAGGGTTCCAGTACCAACAAGAGCTGCCAAAACAGCTCAGGGCAGGGCTGGGCACTCAGCCTTTATGAGGTGGGATTGAGGTGAAGATCTTGGGAATGTAAATCTCTTACCCTCCATTTCCTCCTACTCACTAGATGGACTTCAAGGATATTTCCACCTCCAATATTCTATGTCCAAAGGTCTCTTCTAGGTCTAATGTTTTGCTCTCTAGGACCTCTTCTACCTCCAAACATTTTTTGCTCTCAACTTTTATTTTGGATGCTAACGTTCCATTCCTTCTACTCGGGACACACTATGTCTAAGAATCCTTCCAAAATTTTGTGTTCTAAATATCACAGGTTCTATGTTTCTAAGCTTTTTCATTGTCTAGTCTCATAACCTATTCTCCTCAAACATTCTCTGTTTAAAGAATCATAGCTTTAGAGCTGGAAGGATCCATTCTAATCTGATTCTAACATTCTGGGTTCCAACATTATTTGTTCCAAAATTCCTTCTGCTGCTGATATTTGCCTGTACAATATTTTTTCCAGCAGTAATATTCTATGCTCTAACATTCTATAAGCTAAGAAATGGTGATGCAGTTAGGTGGTGCAGTGGTTAGAATGCTGGGAAAATGGACCTGTGTTCAAATCTAGCCTCAGACACCAGCTGTCATTTAACCTATTTGCCTCAGTTTCCTTATCCATAAAATGGAGATAATAATAACACCTCCATCCCAGAGTTGTGAGGATCAACTGAGATAATAATAGTAAAGTGATTATTAGTACAGTATTGGGCACATAGTGAGCATTAAATGAATGTTACGATGATGATGGTGATGATGATGATGGTGGTGGTGATGGTCCCTTCTAGCTCCAATATTTTGTTCTCTGTCACCTTCCAGATCTAACACCTTATGGATTTTTAGAAGGAAGAATCGCAGTTCTGGGAAGGCTCTCTCTATCTTCTGGGATTGATAGCTCTCATATAAATATTCTTTTCATAAAAATATTATATATATATGTATATGTATATATATATGTATAAAATCTCATTTCAATAATTTTGCAAAAACCATGTGCCATTGGTGGTACAAGTATTGATTACAAGTCTGTAATTTCCAATACAGACTTGGGAATTAGAGCCATTGAATAGAAGCAGGGAGAGGTTAGGGAGCTATTTGTTTTTGTATTTGTATCCCCAGACCCTAGGACAGTTTGGGGATTGATGTATTGATTGGATATTTCACAAAGGAGAAAACCAAGTCCCAGAAGGGTTAAGTCTCTTTGCGAAATATCATTCAGCTTGCAAATATCAAGATGGATACCCAACCCCAGGCCTTTAAGACCAAGATCTTTATTCATCACATCATGGTTCTTCCTTAAAGAATTGGAATTCTTTGCCTGTACTCACTTAGTAGTAAGTGTTAGAGCCAGAATAAGGGTTAAACTGGATCTAGTTGCATCTAATTTTTCATTCATTTTTCAGTCATGTATGAATCTTTATGACCTCATTTGAAGATTTCTTGACAGATACTGCAGTGCTTTGCCATTTCCTTCTCCAGCTCATTAAGAAATGAAGGCAAATAAGATTAAATAACTTGCCCAGTGTCTCACAACTAGTAAGTGTCTGATGCTGTATTTGAACTTAGGAAGATGAGTCTTTCTGACTCCAGGCCCGGTGCTCTGTCCACTATGCCACCCACCTGCCCCTACATCTAATTACTCTCTCCATTATGCCATGTGGAATCTTCTTTCTTCATTCTGAAAACTATTATGTTTTTCAACCTGATTTGATGACAGTTTCCTCATCTGGAAAAAGAGAGCATTGGACCAGATGATCTTCTGGTATACCTTCCAGCTCTAAATCTACAGTCTTATGAATATCCTTTCCAAAGCACCTGGGAGGTTGAGTTTCATTTTGGCCACAGCAGATGCCAAGGAGATGGGAGAAGAAAGGATTCTTGACTTTCAGTCAAACCCATGCCTGGTATTCAGACACTGAACAGTTTGGTGACTCCATGCCTCTCCTGCCTCATCTTATATTACTTCCCTGCATGCACTCTATGCTCCAGCCAAACTCATCTGTCCTCAGTCTTCTAAATGTTCCCTATACTCTCTTACCTGCATGCCTTTGTTCAAATGTGTCCCATATCTGTAAAGTCTTCCCTTTTTATTTTCATACTGGGTTATAAAGTGCCTTTCTCATAACAATCCATGAGGTAGGGAGTGAAAGAAACATTATTTCCGTTTTATAGACAGGTAAATCTCTGAGGAGGTGTCAGTAAATAGAGAACCGGGCCTGGAATCAGGAAGACCTGAGTTCATAGCTAGCAGGAACCACCCACTGGGCATGTTTCTTAACCTCTGTTTGCCTTAATCTATTGGAGAAGGAAATGGCTAACTACTGCAATGTCTTTGCCAAGAAAATTCCATGGATAATATCAGTGTGCTATGGTCCATGGGGACATGAAGAATTGGATACAACTGAACAACAACAACAAACCTCCATGGAGCCTAGAGGCAGTGACTTCTCCACTTCTCCACCATCACATAATAAACATTAGAGCTGGGATTCAAGCCCAGGTGTCTCCCAGTTTTCAATCCAGTCTTCCTTCAGCCCCCACTTGCTGCTCTCATAGCCCCCCTTTGTCTGTTGTATTCTTCCCCATTCATTAAAGCCCAATTCCAATGCCCCCTTTAGGAAGCTTTATGGGAAAAGATCTTGACAATAATCTAATCCAATGCACTCATTTTGTAGGGGAGGAAATTGAAACCAGAGAGATGTCATTTGTCTAAAGTTACAGAGTGCATTAGTGGCTGAGCCAGGAATAGAATCCAGATCTATTGACTTTGAGGCCAGGTGTCTCCTGCTGTTTATTCCAGAAGCATTTCTGGAGCAGCTTCTGTATCCAGCCTGGGGGGACACAAATTTTAGATAAGAGATGGATCCACAATGGAACTCCCCTTCTTAGGGGAGAGGGCTTTATGCCATACACAGATAACAGAGCCTAAGTCCACAGGGGGTATCACAAGAACATACAGTGGGAACTCTGAGGAAGGAAAGGGTCCTTCTGGCTGCCATATCAGAGAAGGCTTTGTGGAAGATGTGGCAGTTAAATTGGCTCTTGAAAGAAGTGAAGAATTTCAGTGGGTAGCAATGGGGGAAAGGCCATTCTAGTCATGTGGAGAGAATTGAGCCAAGGCAAAAAGGTAGGAAAAGGTGGTTGACCTTCAGTAGGGGGCAGGGAATCCATTGTTGGTAAAACATAATGTACTTGGCACAGGTCAGAGTCCACATAAGGCTAGAAAGGTAGAAGAGAAGGTCCTGAATGCCAGACTGAAGTTAAGAGGTTTTCTTTGGGTAATGGGGAGGTCGTGGCAATTTTTTTAATGCAGTGGAGTGTCATGAGTAGATCTGACATAGCGAAGGGGTGTGTGTGTGTGTGTGTGTGTGTGTGTGTGTGTGTGTGTGTGTGTGTGTGTGTGTGTGTGATAAATTTCAGGGGGAGACAGGGAGGCCAGTTTGGAGACTGTTGCAAGAGTCCAGATAAGTGGGAACAGCTACGTGATACAATGGATAGAGCACTAGTCCTAGAATCAGGAGGACCTGACTTCAAATCTGGCCTTAGTCACTTACTAGCTGTGTGACCCTAGGTAAGTCACTTAACCCTCATTGCCTCCAAAAAAGAAAAAAAAAGTTTCCAGGTAAGTGATAAAAAGTGTCTAAAATAGTATGGTATCAATGAGAATGATGAGAAAGTGATAAACAGAATGCAGATTGTGGAGATAGACTTGCCTTTTCTTTTTTTTTCCTGCTTCTTTCTTCAGCATTTCAAGATAATCCCTGGTATAGTTGATGGACAGTTCCTCCCCAAACATCCTGAAGAGTTGCTGGCTACAGGAGAGTTCCACCACGTCCCTTCCATCATCGGTGTCAACAACGATGAATATGGCTGGATTATTCCTGTGGTAAGATGCTAGCATGTTCTATTCTGTGCCAGCTTCTTTTTGATCTCGAGAGTTTGTGTTTCTCTAAAGAATGACAGACTTTCCAAGTAGGTCAGGAGCTTGGTGGCCATGGAGTCTAAACCAGAGTTAAAGGAGAATTCCTTCTATAACTTACTGGACAAATGGCCATCCAGTCTCTGTTTGAAGACCTCCAAGGAGGGAAAACCTCCTGCTTCCTGAGATAGCTCCTTACACTTTTAGGCAGCTCTCAGGCTTGGACAGGGCACCATGACAGCAAGTGGAAATTTACTTCTTTTTCAACTTCTACCTGTTGTTCCCAGCTCTGCCCTGAGGGCAAATGACACCAGTTAAATGCCTCTTCCAGGTTACCATTCACCAGATAGTTAAAAATAACTATCATGTCTGCTCCTGCCCTATGTTTTTTCTTTGACCAGAAAATCAAGTTCCTTTAACCCATCCCTATATGGCAAGACCATGACCCCCTTCTCAGCTTCTCTATTTTCTGCCTCAAATATGATGCTCAGAACTGAACAACAGATTCCAGATACACAGTTACCCTTCCAAATCACTGGGATTGGGGGTACAGTGCCTCTACCATCTGGAAAATCCATGTAAAATCTTTTGGATCACCTTTCATACCCAAGGAATAGATTGAATTAGTATGGTATTAAAAGATAAAATATGTTGATATTATATAATATTATATTTTTCATAAATTTCTGAGTTTCTAAACTTTTTCTATGTCATCTGCTGGCCTTCACTTGTCATCTACAGGTTCCACAAAACTCCCCAAAAATTTCCAATTAATTTCTTATGCCTACCTGAGATATATTGAAACCACAATGAGGAAAGTCATGATGCAAAAGGAATAACTGTAGCCTCCCCAGAGGTAGCACACAAATGGACTCTCACCTCCTTATTCTTAGAAGCTGTGCCTTTTTTAATGCTGCTCAGCATCCCATTGTTTTTTAGGTTGCCATATTACCCTGTTGGTTCATTATGGGCTTGTGGTTCACCACAATCTCTAGATTTTTTTCAACTAATTTGCCACCTAACCATGCCTCCCTCATCTTGGGATTGTAAGATTTTGTCCCCATTAACTTTGATCCTAGTGACTGTAGTCAGTCCAATATTCTGGCCTGTCAAGGCTTTCTTTTGGATCCTGACTCCATATTCCAATATGTTAGCTGACTCTCCTGACTTTGTGTCATCTGTAAATCTGCCTTTTCTAAAATCAGAAAAGTTACCCTGAACAGGTTTCTCTGGAAGAATCAGAAATGATTCTACCTTTGGTTATTTTCTCTATGGATGACTCATTTCATGTACAAATATGCTCAGAAGTTTAGGAAGAGAAGCCCAATCTAGGTCTAGTTCCCTTTTGTTTAAAATATACTCTGTAAGTCTCTTTATTTTGTTTTATTTCTTAATTTTTTAAATTTTTGGAGGCAATTGGGGTTAAGTGACTTGCCCAGGGTCACACCTAGTAAGTGTCTGAGGCTGGATTTGAACTTAGGTCCTCCTGACTCCTGTGCTCTAGCCATTGTATCACCTAGTTGCCTCAAGTCTCTTTATTTTAAATGAACAGTGAATAATACTAGTTTGCATTCCATAGCACTTAATAGTTTACAAAAAAACTTCTTTCATAGGGACCATGAGGTAGGGACCATTAAGATGTTTATACCCAGTTTGTCAAGTAGGTAACTGAGGCTCCCAGAAACAACATGCTATAACTCTAGTCACACAGGTGGGACTAGAACCTTGTTCTCCTGATGTATGACCAGGTCTCTTTCCTATGGACTTTTGATCATCATATCAAAAGGCCATTGGGGTTATATTAACTTTAAATGACTTGATATTAACAACCATTTGTCAGCTATCTCCTTAAGCATATGCATGTAAAGTCAGTCTATTTACATTAGTCAGAAAAATATAATGTTACCTCCATTGTTTCTAGCACAATGTATTATAGTAAGCATCAGTCTAAGGCCACTGGTCACTACAAAGAATCCATAACCCCTGTTTATTATGTACTGGGTATTACCCACCATTTTGCTGGCCATTTTGCAAAATATCTTGAGAATTGTTCAGTGTGTATTAGGCATTATTCAGTAATTCCTAACCAAATCTATGGCACTAGTTCCTCCTTAAAAGGTAAAATAACTTCTTTGGATTAGTTTTGTTTAAAAAATGCATAAATTTGTAAAGTTCTAAAGACCATTCATAGTACGCCATTTTTCTCTACACAGAATATGGACGATGCTGTATTTAAGGAAAAAATGGATAAAGAAATAATCCAATCATCAGTGCTAAGTCCACTTTTGGTGAGATACCAGTTAATTTTTTTTTTTATAAGCACCTACTACTTGGCAGGCACTGGGCTAAGAACAGGGACAAAGAGAAATAGTCCCTGCCCTCAAGGAACTTACATTCTATGAGGGAAATAACCTGCACATTCAGAGATAGATGGGAAACATACAAAGAGAAAATCTTGGGGGAGGGGGAAGGCACTAGCAGCTGGAGGAGGGAGGAACCAAGAAAGGTGCTTTATAGAAGGTACTGCTTGAGATGAGGCTTGCCAATGCAAAGGCATGGAGGTGAGAAATGGAATAGGAAGTGTGAGGAGCAAGAAGGTTGGCATACCTGGACCACAGAGTGTGAGGAGGATAATAAGGTATCCATTTTAATACTACATATATACATAATATATATTATGTACATCATATTACATATACATTATATGTTATGTATTTTGTATAATGTAGTGTGTGTACGCATATGTGTGTGTGTGTATATGTATTGTATACATTATAGAGTAAATGGGGCCAGGTTGTTAAAAACTCTAAATACCAAACAGAAGAGTTTATATTCAATCCTAGAGGTAATTGGCATCCAGGAGAATTTACTTAGCTGGGGGAGGGGAGTACAATGGTCAGATCTGTGCTTGTAAAATCACTTTGGAAGAGGAGTGGAGGATTTATTGGAGTGAGGAGAAATCCAAGGCACAGTGACCAATCAGGAGTCCACTGAAATAATCAATGTAATGGGTGGGCTTATTGCTTGTGGTTGTTTAGTTGATGAGTCATGTCTGACTCTTCATGGCCTATTTGGGGGGTTTTCTTGGCAAAGATACCAGAGTGGTTTGCTGTGTATTTCTCCAGCTCATTTTACAGACAGGGATCTGAGGTATACAAGATTCAATGACTTGCCCAGGTCACAAAGCTAATCCATGTCAGAGGTCAGATCTGAATGCGGGTCTTTCTGACTCTAGGGACAGAGTTTATCCACTGTGTCACCTAGCTCCCTTGCTCATTGCTTACAATCAACCAAAAACACCCCCAAAACAATCCACTGCCAGGTATCTTCATTTTTCTGTTTCTCTGTCTCTTCCTGGGTCTCCTGTAGGGTCTTTCTCCTGAACTTGGGCATCTAATAATAGAAGAATATTTAAGAGATACTGAGGACCTGGCAGAATATCGGGCTCAATTGCAGGAAATGATGGGGGATTTAATGTTTGTTATTCCTGCCCTCAAACAGGCCAAATATCAACACGGTGAGTATGGCATTGACCCTTTTCAGGATCAGCGTAAGAATGTCTCAACTCTGTGGCAGTGTATATTACCCACGCACTCATGCAGAAGGAGGCTCCTGCTTCTGGCTTTGCCATCAGAGCCTCCAGAGTGGTTAAAAGCCCTCATTCACCTTCTTTCTTCTCCTATACCCACCTAACTGCAGCCGACATGAACTCAGTGACCATTCTCTATAAATAACAATAATTAATAGTAACCACCCATATTTCTACAAGCAGATATTCCTAACATTTTTGTGGGTATGCATCATGGACCCCTTTGGCCAGGAAAGTTGTAGATTCCTTCCAGAGTAATGTTTTCAAGTGTATAAAATAAAATACATAGAATGCAAAACCAATTATTGAAATCAAGTTATCGAAGTGCTCAAATTAAGAAAAAAATTCCAGAACTCCTGCTGGAGTATTTTATTGTTATAATACACTTTACATCCATTATTCCCCTGGATCCTTACAACAACCTCATCCCAGTGGCTATAGCATGGACCTGGAATCAGGAAGACCTGAGTTCAAATCCAGATTCATACACCTTCTAGCTGTGTGTCCTTAGCAAGTCATTTAACCTCTGTTTGCCTCAGTTTCCTCAACTATAAAATGGAAATGACAATAGCACCTCCATCACAGGGTTGGTGCAAGGCTCCAATGAGGTAATATTTGTAAAGCACTTAGCACAAAGTAAGTGCTCTATAAATGAATATTCATAGGGCAGCTAGGTGGCACAGTGGATGGAGTTCTGGCCTTGGAGTCAGGAAGACTCTTCTTCTTGAGTTCAAATCTGGCCACAGACACTTACTAGCTGTGTGACCTTGAGCAAGTCTTTTCAACTTCTTTGCCTCAATTTCCTCTACAGCATCTTTGCCAAGAAAAACCCAAATGAGATCACACAGAATCAAATATAACTGACAAATAACTGAACAACAAAAGCTTATTACCTCCCCCTCCTCTTCCCATAGGGTAGACAGTCCAGGGATTACTATCTCTACCTTACAGTTGAAAAAATCACCCTCAGAGTAGTAAAAGGATTCCCCCAAGGTCATATAGTTGGTCAGCAGCAGGGCCAGGACAACACAGATCCTATTACACCAGACCCCATGCACTTGTCCTGCCTGATAGCATCAATCTCAGATAGTATTTGTTAAGGGGCTGCCCTCTAGGAGCTTGCCTGTTAATGGCCACCTACCATTGCCCCCCCACCCTAAAGGAGGGAATCATGCCAGGGGCCTCTGGCATGAGGCACTGCCCTGTGTTCAATGGGTCAATAACTGTGGGCATTTCTTATGTTTGCCTAGGTCCCAGATCTCCAGTCTATTTTTATGAATTTCAGCACCGACCAAGCATATTTAAAGATGTCAAGCCAGATTTTGTGAAGGCGGACCATGGGGATGAGCTGCTTTTTGTCTTTGGAGTCCCTTGTAAGCAATGGAGATGGGATGGAGTGGAAAGCTATGTGCATGTGGGGGGAATAGAAGGAAGGTAGGGATTGTTATCGTGGCTGTTTTACAAAAAAGAAACTGAAGTTCAGAGAGAGGAATAGACTTCTCCAATATCATAGAGTTAGGTCTAAGTTCCCTAAGGAGGCATTAAATAGGGGCCCAGCTGGCTGAGAAGAGATTTGGTTTTTATTTATTATTCTTTGCATTTGTATCTCCAACCCTTGGTACAGTGCCAGGGATTGAGCAGGCAATCAGTAGTTACCTGGTTGACTGAGTTATTGAAGATTAAGGTATCAGCCTTGGAAGTCCCCAGACTCCATCTGCTTGTTCAGGGGAACTGAATCAGGAGATTGAATCAGCTATTCAGTTCAATTCCGTTTACATGATTAAGCACATGCAACAAACAAAGCCCTCTGTTCAACTCTGGGTAGTCTCTGACTTCTTGGAGTTTACTACCCAGAGGGGAAGATGAAGCACGAACACAAAAAAGACATTTCCATATGTTAGTAGACCCACCGATCTCACCAATACCCTCATCCTCTCCTCTGGATAGACCCTACCTTGTCACACCATCTTATCCTGTGAGATCCCATAAATCCTGCACAGAGGATCTGCTCAAAGTGCTGGAAGCCTTCCCTCCCTCCCTTCTTCCCTTATTTGCTCTATCTCTTTCTCCCTTCCTTCCTTCCTCCCTCCCTTTTCTCCAGTTATTCTTGATTCACTTTCTCTACTAATACATCCACTCGTTGATTGTTGGACAAAAGTCTCACATTTAGCAGTCTTCAGAATTAATGTTTGTAGACGGTTGCAAATTTGTGTTTTTGGAAATCTTCTCTCCCTATTTTCACCTTCTTGCTCCTGTTCTGGCAGAACTGGAAGGCCAGTTTATCCATTCATCCGTTTCATGACTTGCCATGGCCAATAGAATTCATTACCTTATGGCCCAGTTGATGCTGCTGAGCCTGTCTACCCTGCCCCAGGCAAAGGTCTTGAATGGCGGCCATATGCAAAGACTTTCCAGCTACCAGAGTTTGTGCTATGCTGTTGTAGCTTAGAATAACAATTATCATTATTAAAAATAACATTTATAACAATCTTGCCATTGTTGTAGTGACATATAATAAAATATGCCATTATATAATTACAATATAATTCAACATGTAATTTTTATATATTTTATGTTATTACAAGTATATAATAGCATAAATAAAATATAATAATGATATCTAGTATTTATGTAACATTTTTACAAGTTTTGTAAATCATTTTTTTTTACATTTCCAACAATCCTGGGGCACAGGTGTTATTATTATCCCCATTTTCCAAGCAAAGAAACAAAAGCAGACAGAAGTTAAGTGACTTGCCCAGGGTCACTCATGTAGTCAGCATCTGAGGTTGGATTAGAACTCAAGTCTTCCTGGTTTCCAGCCCAGCTAAACCACTTTGTTTTTTGGGGAGAGATTCAGTTATAGAGTCAGAGAGAGTAGGCCAACAGAAGCCCTGGGAGGTCCTCTGGGAGGGGAGTGACATGAGGGAAACTGTTAGAGGAACATCAATACAGTGGCCAGAACCGGATTGACTGGGTGGTTGGGGCTGGGGAAAGGAGGAAAAAAAAAAAAAAAAAAAGAGGAAAGGAGGCCTTTGGGTCTGCATTTTGACCTTAACCAAGATGTTTCTTTTCTGTTCCTAGTTTTAGGAGAGGGCACAGAAGAGGAAAAACTCCTGAGCCACAGGATAATGAGCTATTGGGCAAACTTTGCCCGTCACGGGTGAGAAAGCTACCCCTTGGTTTCCTGATGGTTTCCTTTGGGGTGGTTCCTGTTCCTAGGCACATAAAGGTTTCCTACTTACATAGAAGTTCCCTGATTGAAATTTGTTCAGAAAAAAAAAGTTCATTCAACTTAGAAGTAAGGTCTGGTGAACAAGCATAGCCCTTCCCTAAGTTCATGGCCTGGGTTGGGGGATGGCGTTACTTTGGCAGACTCACCCTGCACATGGGCATCTTGAAAGGAATATAAAAAAGATGAGCAACTCTCTTGGCCCTCACCATCACCCTCAAGTCTCAGTGATTCTCTTCCCCATGGGGAACCATTAGAACAGGGGGTAGTGGGAAGAGTCCAATATTGAATTTGAAGTCCAATATTGTTGTGCTTTATTCTTTGTGACCCCATCTGGAGTTTTCTTGGCAAAGATATTGGAGTAGTTTGCCATTTCCTTCTCTAGATGAAGAAACAGAGGGACACATGGTTAAGTTATTTGCCCAAGGTCACACAGCTAGTAAGCATCTGAGACTGGATTTGAACTTAGGTCTTCCTGACTCCAGGCCCAGGTTTATCCACTACACCACCTGGCAGTCCCAATGAAATGGAGTCCAATGATATGAGTTCAAATCCAGACTTGGTTACTTATTCCCTATGTGAATCCTTTCACTCTTTGGACCTTACAACTCGTAGGTGCATTAGAAAGGACCAACATGAAAGGTGAAGACCAAACTGCTTAAGGATGGGTGAACAAGCTCTCCATGGGTGCTACCACTGTCAGCCTACACCTACCTTGGGGCCCCTTCCTTGGCTCTCAGGCTGAGCTGATGGTGGCTTGCTACATTTGCCAATGGAGTGGCCCCTTTCAGTTCTAAATGTTTGGTTTTTCCTCCCAGGGACCCAAATGGTGCAGACCTTATTCGCTGGCCAGTCTATGACCAGAAGGAAGAGTACCTGCAGCTGAATTTGCAGCTGTCTGTGGGAAAGAGCCTGAGGAAGGATAAGTGGGAGTTCTGGACCAAGACCTTGCCTCAGAAGATGAAGGAATCACAGCCAGAAAATGCCCGGGTGGAGTTGTAATCTCTAAGCACAACCGTTGTTGCAATAATTGCAGACCAATGACACCCAATCACTTCTTTTGAGTAGTTCCTTGGCCTCAGCTAAAGAATATTGTAGTTTTGAGTGAAATACTTTGAGTCTCACTCATTACTGCTATGAGAGGAATTTAAATGATAGAAGGAAAAAATCATTTATAGAGTGCCTACTCTGTGCTGGGCACTGTGCAATGGAAACACTTTTAGCAATATCATCTGATTTGAAAGGAACCTTCCAATTCTGAGACAGTGGGAATCTGATGAGACCAGCCAATCCACCCTGTCTCTAGAGTAAAAAAATCCCTAGTTCATTTCATCGAATTATAATGGAGATGGTTTCATTTTCTGTCATTGTATCTCTAGGGCACTTGGTAGGGAAATAATTAATGCTTGATGATTGATTGAATGATTTATTAGAACTGGAATGGATATTAGAAATCATTGAACAAGAATGAACACAGAGGCCCAGAGAAGGGAAAGGACTTGTCCAAGGTGACACAGACACTAAGCAGCCAGGTCCTCTGACTCCATATCTAAGGCTCTTCTTAGTACACTGAGCTCTTAGATGTCTCTTTCCCGCTTTATCAGTTACCTAGCATTTTCCTGACATTTCTGTGAGGAGATAATGTGGGACACGGAGGGTCCTGAAAACAAAACTTCATGATAATGCTACAAGTCAAGCCATTCTTTACTTGTAAAGGAGCAGCACAGGGACAATGGTATCTCTGAGTCAAAACTCACCATGGTTCTTCTACAGGGTTCCTTTTACATGAAAATAAAGCAAAATCAAAGGAAATCCTTCCTCTACTCTGAGTGGTTATGCTAACAAGATATTTCACAGTAACAAAATATTTTACTAACAGGATGCAGGCAGAGGCGTTTTGGTCAATGTTTAACAATCAACTGTCTGAAAAACCCACGAGACATACTTTACATTGTATTATTCACATTATCTCCATCACTTTGTTAAGTTTAGAAATCAAGAAAACAATGACCTAAACCCTAATTTGTAGTGGATGCCAATTCTGAGGTGTAAATGCTCATGCTGAAAATTTAACATTCAGATCTGGTACAAGTTGGCTCTAGCACTTTCCTGGGATAAAGGGATATATGGTATTAAAACATTCTCTTCATCAAGAAAAATCAAATACTTAGCTGTTAAAGCCTTTTTGTCACTAAGAAGCTTCTGATTCAGAAAATGAGACATAATTGATATAGAGTTCAGGCAATGAAGGCAGGATACAGATGATATAGAGTGTAAGGTAAGGGGGCTGGGTCACCTCACATCTGGACCTTACAATAGCCTGAAGCCTAGTTTCTCTTGCCTCAGTTTTCTTCCCACTGCAGCCTACCATTCAAATCTGACCATGTCACCCCTCATGTGATAAACTCTGTAGTGGTTCCCTTTATTTCTAGAATCAAATATTAAACCCTTTGTCTGGCTTTTAAAGACATTCAGAATTTGGCCCCTCCCCACTTTTTCCTGCATTTTACTGCCTCTCCTGTACTCTTTGGTCCAGTGACATTGGCCTCCCTGGTGTTCCTGGAACAAGACACTGGATCTCTGGGTTCTGGGCACTTTCTCTGGCTGCCCCCCTGCCTGGAATGCTCTCCCTCCTCCTCTGCTCCTCCTGGCTTCCTTCAAGGCTCAGCTAAAACCTCACCTTTTGCCAGAAGCCTTTGCTAAGTGCCCCTTAAAGCTGGTGCCTTCTTACTGTTGATCATCCCCCAGCTTGCCTTGTGTAGATGTTGTTTATCCATAGGTGTTTGCGGCTTGTCTCCCTTCATTAGATTGTGAGCTCCATGTGGGCAGTTTTTTTACCTCCCTTTGCATCCCCAGTGCTTGAGTGCCTGGTGCCTGTGTGCCCTTTGGAAATACTTGACTTGTCACCTACCAGCTCTATCATGCTGGAATGTCTTTTTCCTTATGAACTCAGTGGGAATAATAAAAATGACACCATCAACCTCCCAGAGTTATACTGAGCACCAGAGAGTATCCAAGCTGGACAAGAGCTTAAAGAATATCTGATCCAGGGGCACTTTGGTGACACAGTGGATAGGTACTGGCCCTGGAGTCAGGAGGACCTGGTTCAAATCCAGCCTCAGAACATAACACTAACTAGCTATGTGACCCTGGGCAAGTCACTTAACCCTGATTGCTTAAAAATAAAAATTAAAAAAAAAAGAATGTCTGCTCCAACCCACTCATTATACCACAAAGGACTCAAGGACTTCACCCAAAGTCACACAGCTAAGAAGAGGTTGTGCAGGGGCTCCATCTCAGGTCTTTAGGCTCCAAGTCCTTCACTCTTGAATATGTCATCTGAATCAAGCTTCACTCTCTTCAGCCTTAAGCAACACCATCATTACAAAACTATTGTTGTTTGCTGGGAAAGTAGAAACAATAGCAATGCTTATCTGTGAAGAAGGCTCTGTGTTTTGTATCCTATTTGGATGGATATTTATTAACTATGGTTAACAATGATTAGAGCTAAAATTTATATTGTGTCTACTATGTGCCAACCACTGAACTATGTGCTTTGCAGTGAAATGAAGAAACTGAGGTAGACAGAGGTTAAGTGACATGCCCTGAGTCATACAGCTAGCTGGCTATGTTGTTCAAATGCCAAATGTCTATTTGCCTAGAAAACTGTTTTATAGAGAACTCATGCAAGGCACGTGCTCATATGGAGGTCAGAAAACATGATACAAGGACACTCTCAAGGTCTCTCTGAAAAACTTTGGAATTGATTGCGTGACATAAGAGACACTGGCAAAGTACCCCCCAGCATGGTGTGCCCACATAAAAGAAGACACTGTGCTCTATGAGTGAAGCAGAATTGTAGTAGCTGAAAAGAAACTAGGAATGCACAGATTTAGAGACATCTCCAATTCAAATGTTCATATGGACTATTTGTTTCTCACCTGTGGTAAAGCCTTCTGAGCTCATATTGGTCTGCTTGGCCACAGACAGACACACTGTATCTTGACTCCAACATATTAATGTCATTTTGGTCCTCTTCAAGGACAAAGGACAACAGCCAACCAAGTGTCTGAGTCAGGATTTGAACTCAGGTCTTCCTGATTCTAAGTCCATTGTTCCATTCACCTACCAGACCGTAGAATTTGAAGCCTCATAGAAAGGTCCCTATTCTCTTTCCAACCAGATGTAGTTCTAGCTGTATTCCCATTTGGATGAAGTGGGTTGAGCTGGATTCATTTAAGCGCATCCAGTCCCAGCTCATGGAAGTGCTATTGAAACAGATTTCCACTGCCCTGGGGCCAATTTTTGGCACGATGTCAATGGAAAGCATGCAACCCAGGGAAGTTTCTGAGAGCCCCGTCATTTGTTTACTTAAGAACTTATGTCAGCAGCTCCTACTCTTTGTTGGGTGAAGACTGTCAGGGTCATAGACGTGTACAATCGGAAGGGCCCACAGAGACCACGGGTCCAACCTGGACCTAAACAAAAATCCTGTCCTGTTGCTGCTGTTGTTTGTCCTTCCATGACATCATGAAGGTGATGTCTTGACTTGCAAGTAAACTGGATTGAAGTGAGGGAGGGCTGTGCAAAGTCACCAGCCTCGCTTTCTCCTCTGGAGCCATCTGGGTCCAGTGGCAAGATATAAATCAGGATGATGGGAGATGTTCCTGGATGGAGTGGGAGACATTGGCCTTTTCACACTAAGGTCTTTCCCAGGTCTCAGTTTGACTGAGGCAAAGCCAATTCAGTGATTAAGACTAAGTAAGAAATGTGGTAAAGAATGACCTCTTTTATCTAGTCTAAAAAAATCAGTCTGGGAGGGTAACACCCTCTGGATTTCTGGCCAAAACAGAAATAGTTACGATTTACATTCACTCTGAGACATCAGGGCCCAAACAACGACCAAGTGGGGGGGGGTGTTGCATGTGTGTGTGTGTGTATGTGTACATGTGTGTGCACATGTGTATGATTGTCCTTTGTTCTCAAAGAGGACCAAACGAAATTACTAGGTTAGAGTCAAGTCATAATGTGTCTGACTGTGGCAGATCAGACCAATCCAAGTTCAGAATTCTCAACCACAGGTCGAGCACAAATAGTCCATGTGAACACTTGGGGTGGATTCTCTAAATTTGCCCATTTTGTGTTTCTTCTGAGTTACTTTAATTCTGCTTTGCTCATAGAGCACAGCACCTTCTCTGATGAGGGCATGCCATGCTGAGTGGTCCTGTGCCAGTGTCTCCCATGTCACAAATCAATTCTAAAGTTCTTAAGAGAAACCTTGATAGTGTCTTTTCATCGCTTTTTTCTGACTTCCATGTGAACACTTGGTCTGTGTGAGTTCCTCATAATATATTCCTTTAGGCAATTGTATATTTGGCATTTGAATAACGTGGCCAAATTATCAGTGTTGCACTCTCTGCAGAAGGGAATTGCAGAAGGGAAGGAAAGGGAAGGGAACCAATTAACACCAATTATCTTTTGCAAAGCAATACTTTCTGAGAAGTATAAACATGCCAGATGGAATTCTCCTGTCTACCATCTTGGTCCATGAGAACAGGCTTGAATTTAAGGCAGACGCTACAACATTCTTGTCACCAAGTTCACTTCCAAATTCAGCAGCTAGGGGCATCTAGGTGGTGCAGTGAATAGAGCACCGGCCCTGAAGTCAGGAGGACCTGAGTTCAAATTCGACCTCAGACCAAACATTTGACACTTACTAGCTGTGTGACCCTGGGCAAGTCACTTAACCCCAACTGCCTAGAAAAAAAAAACAAAAACAAAAAAACAAAACCACAAATTCAGCAGCTGCTGGTCCTCGCTGCTCCTGCAGGTCCCTGCTGGGCTGAGTGAAACAGATTGCTCCTCATATTTGCCGGCAAATCTGCTAGTATGGACAAGATATCCAGGACTTCTGATGGTTGGCTATTCCGACCTTTCAAAACTTACAAGATCATAGCTGTCTCCTATACTCCACCTAGAACTGGAAAGAATAGACAGAATAGGGACAGAAGAGCCACTGTTCTATGTGAGAGAAGGCAGGAGACCCACCCACACGCAGTGACACCGAGTAGTTCAACTTCTCAAAATGTAGTCAGTGAGAGACAGAGTTGTCCCCAGGTGTGTTTTTTTTTTTGTACATTGATTTACATTGCAAAAGCTATTTGAAAAGCCTTCTCTCACACACTTATCTTGTTCACACAAAATCTTGTCAATTACATAATCAAAATTAGCCATTTTACCTTTTATAATTAAGTCATCCTTTATTCATAGCCATGACCTACTCCTCCTAACTTTTTAAGGTATGATTTTTAATATTCAAGACACTCATCCTTTTTGAATTTATTATGGAATATTCTATAAGGTGATTTTGGTCTAAGCCTAATTTCTGTCACACTGCTTTCCAGTTTTCCAAGTAGTATTTATCAATTAAGGAATTTTTCCAAAGGCAACTAATGTTTTCCACTGTATCAAACATGTGGTTATTGAGTTTTATTGTTTCTGAATGACTCCTGTCTAGTCTGTTCCATTGATCTGTCTCTATTCTTTAACCAGTACCAGATGGTTTTGATGACTGCTGCTTTATAATATAGTCTGATTCTGCAAGTGCTATTCTCTCTTCATTCCTACTTCTTTTCTGTATTTCCCTTAATATTCTATATTTTTTGTTTTTCCAAATGGACTTTGTTATTTTTTATCAGGTTTTATAAAGGATCCCCTTGGTAATTTGATTGGTACAGCATTCAAAGTACAAATTAATCTTGGTAGCACTGTCATTTTTATTATATTGGCACAGCCTAGGCATGAACAGTGAATATTGTTCCAACTATTTAAGTTGCTCTTTATTTCTTTAAGCAGCACTTTGTAACTGAATTTATCTAAGTCTTTTGAGTGCTTTGAGAGAGTAGTCCTTAGGTATTTGATACATTTTGTAGTTATCTGGAATGGGATTTCCTTTTCTAGGAATGGGATTTCCTTTTCTATGATTGCTTCTTGTCTCAATTATTTTATACATTTGTTCACTTATTTTGAATGGATCTTTTTATTATTGCCTTTGGGATTTTGCTATATAATATAGAAGTGCTACTTATTTTTGTGGGTTTATTTTGTAATCTGCAACTTTTTTTTGGAGCTATTACTTTCTTTGCTGATTCCCTTGGATTTTCTAAGTAAACTACCATGTTATCAACAAACAGGAATAATTGCCTCTCTTCTTGGCTCACTTCTCTGCCTTTCTTCTTCTTATGTTATTGCCATTTCTAGCATTTCCAGAATTCTCTTAAAGCTTAATTGACAAAAGAGAAATATTTTAATTTAATAATAAGGAAATAACTGGACATAGTTTTGGATTATTAGAGAAATCAAGTAATGAGAATGAAGAAGGTAATGAGTCAAGTTAACAGGCTAAGGGATAACCAACAGGTGGGTGTGGTCAGTCCTGTATGATCCTGTTACAGGAGGGATTTCTTTCCAATATGGGTTCAACTACATGGTCCCTGAGATCTGTGGAGGGGCCCCTGAACTTGTGTTCTTGAGTTAACCTATTTTCCCAAGATGAAACCCCCCTAAACTAACATAACACTGATCTTTCATAATTGAACTCCATTAAACTTTCCGGCTCTGGCCAGTCTGCCCAGACTGATAAACTGTTTGTGCAGCTGAGACCCTTTCAGGTAAGCAGAACATCCTCCCTCCATGGTCTGATATTCCCAAGTCCTCCTGTTTCCTCTCATTCCCCCTCCCCTACTGCTCCCTTTCTCCTCCCATGTCACTTCCATTTGGGAAGGGATTGCCTTCTACTCCTCCCATGAGACCTCTCTTTTTTCCTGTACCCCATAAATATCCAAGGCATTATCTGTAGGGTGGGTTCCTTCATATAAGGAGTTCCCCCATGTATATGCCTTTCTCTTGCAATAAATCAAGTGACAACCTGTGTCTTATGGAGTTGTGACTTTTGGTTAACAGACCAAATTTCCACAATGAAAATTCTGTAATTCTGTGATATTCTTTGACCTACAATGGGTGTCGATTGACTCAAGGAAGATTCTAAGAATTATGCCAGTTGGGAACAAATATCCCTTGTTACAAGAGAGAAATTGTTGTCTTTTGGGAGCTAACAGCCCTCAAGAAAGCTCTGGGAGCCATAGTGTTTGTTTACTGGAAACCTCATCAAAGCTCTACCACTTGGTCTGAGGGAAGGTAGGTATTGGAAAAATCATAGAAGCTCAGAGTTGGAGAGGTCCTCTGAGGCCCTGCAGTCCAACCCATCCCTGGTCAAGAATTACCTTTATAGCCTCCCTGACTCTGCCAGGAAGGGATGAGGACCGAGTGCATTCCAGACATGTGGAACTGTCTGCAGAGACAGGAAATGAAATAACATGTGCCAGAGAAAGCAAGCAGACAGGCTAAAGTAGAACATAAACCATAGGAGCCAGATTGTGGAGGGCTTTCAATGCCAAGCTGACCATTGAGCCAGTTTCAGCTCTCTTCCCTTACTATAGGATACAACTAAAGTCATCCTCTCCACACTCTCTCAGTTACTCCTATTCTTTCTTATACATTCACTAAATTCTCTAACATTGAACTTGCTATCTTCTCACTGTCAACTATCAACTGTCAACCTTTACAGATTTTGTTCTAGGAAAGACAAACAAAATTAGGCTGCGCATGCACATTTACTTCTCTGAAAACTGACTCATCATGCATATGGAGATATACATGGATGTTCATTGTGAAAATGAGCTCAAGGAAGGATAGACAAAAGGGACTTTATATCTTTAGAGCCATTCTCTCTCACCCTCCCTCATTTCCTGGCTCAGGATACCTGTGTCCTTCATTAGTCAAAATTATAGTTTCAGAAAAGAAATAGTGTGGCTCCAAGATTTCTGGTTTTCTGCCAATCGTAAACAGAGGATGCTGTAAAAGAGGGAGTATCAAGATAGTGCCTCTAACATGGTAGGGCCATAAAAAAATGAAGGAAATGTCCCAGCGGGCCATGTCCTTGGTAGAAGAATATTCCCAGTCAGCAAAATCCAGCAGGAGGGCTTAGGTTCACTCAGAGAGCAAAGCAAAGCATGTGTATCATATCAGAGCATGAAAAGCATTGTGGAAGATTAAACTCAGAGTGGGCCAACAAATGTCTTTCTCCCGATTGGTCAATCTAGGTTTTAAGTCTTTCTGAGGTGAGAGAGGTTCCAGCTGGTAGGGGGAGGGGGTAAGCTGGTTCACATCACATAACTATTCTTCACTCACCAAGTCAGTTACCTTGACTCCCAATCGGTAGGGTTCAAACTAGATTCCAGTTTTTACCACACCCAGACAAGTCTCCACAGGCCAACCATAGTCCCAGTGCTTCTTTCTGACTTTCTGTGGCCTCCTGTGTACAGCTGTGACTCATTTCCATGACTGCCTAGAGGCAGCAAGGTGGTACAGTGGCTAGAGCAAAGAGTCAGGAGTCAGGAAGACCTCAGTTCAAACCTGGTCTCAGATGCCCAACTAGCTGTGTGATCCTGGGCAGTTTCCTCAACTGCCTCAACTGTAAAATAAGGGTGATAACAATAGCATGTAATAGCATGTGTGAAGATCACATGAGATGTTTGTGAAGTGCTAATTCAGGGTCTGGCACGTAAGAGGAGCATGAAAATGGCTGTTTGCTTCTTTCCAAACCCTTGATTTTACAGATGGGCAAGCTGAGGCTAGAAGGGCCTCTTCTTTTCCCCTTTCTATTCACATTCTACCTTGAAGGGAATTGGCTATGATTGGCTACATTTAAGGGCATGCAGCCCTAACAGAGCCACTGAATCAGATTCCCACTTCCCTGGAGAAGGTCCTCGGAACCCTATTGTCTTATTACTTGGGGCCTCCTTGGAAGCTCCAAGTCCTCAATAGGAGCCTGTCAGAACAACAGAGTCTCAGAATCAAAACAGACCTGAGAAGCCATCTAGACCCACTTCTACCTGGACAAGAACCACCCTCTACAACATCCCTGAAAAGTGGTCATGCAGGGGCTCTGAGGAATTATCACTACAGAGATGTTGCCCCATTAAGGATTTGGATCACATTGGTTTGATGAGGATAGAAGCACTCTTTGTCTTTTTTTTTCACCTTTTGTCTTAATAAGTTAAAGATGATAATGGGAAGGAGGGATTTGACTTGGTCTGTTTGGTTCCCAAAGGGCAGGAACAGCAAGATGGGACAGGGGGGAACGTTACAAAGGGGCAAAATAAGGCTTGATACCCAGAAAGACATGCTAAGGATTAGAACTGTTCAAAAGTAGAATGAGCAGCCTGGAGAGGTGCTGGGTTCTGCCTTATAAGAGCCCTTCAAACCTCCATTTTAAGGAGCAGGCCCTAGCTAACCGTGTCTTCATTCCTCTCCATGCAACACTCCTTCCCCTCGTGGTACTTTCTGAATGGTGCCTTCCTCTCTTCCCCCCTCGTGTGCCCCCCCATCCTTTATGTGTTGTTTCCCTCCATCAGAATGTAAGTTCTCAGAGGTCTTGGGTTGTCTTTCTGCTGGTATTTGTATTCCCAGAGCTTAGCACTGTGTGTTCAAATCCTGCCTCAAATACTTCCCAGCTATATGACCCTGGGTAAGTCATTTAACTCTGTTTCCTCATTTGTAAAATAAGCTAGACAAGGAAATGGCAAACCACTCCAGTATCTTTGCTAAGGAGGCCCCAAATAGGGTCAGGAAGAAAAAGCAAGGAACTAAAGAGCTTAAGGGGGTAAAGGTCACAGATGGCTCCAGAAACTGGGAGGGAAGGTGGTGAGGTTGTGTAATTCGAATTTTGATCCTTGACACTTCCGATTGAAGTGGTGAGGACAGCTCACGGTGACTCTTGTGAACCCATTGTCATATTTGCCCATCTGAAATCAGAAGTCCTGTAATTCAGGGCTTGATTTGTCGTTCTGGTGATTGTCTAGACTTAAGATAGTGTTAGAAACAATGTTACTAATAGAGATTAAATTTAAGAGTGTGTCATGGATACATTTTTGTTTGTTTTTGTTTCCCAGTGAGCTTGTCACATATTTACCAGCATTTCCCAGCTGGCTGGTTGGCTGTTCAGACTTCTCTTTAGCTTTTAGGGATTCAATCAAATTTTTTTTTTTCAAATAGCTCTAAGACAAGGTCGACAAGGAAGTTCATTGAGTAATCCTTAGCCCCAGTTTCCCAGGAACGCCCTTTGATCCAGTTCTTTTTCTATTAAAGGATAGACCTGGGATCTGATTAGGCATAACCAGGGGGCTGTGCAGAGGGAAAGATGTGGAAGACTTCTCTGCTGCCCAAGGTCCTGACTTTGGGGGTCCTGGGCCTCCTGATTCAAGCCCCAGGTGAGCAGCTCTGCCAGGCTGACCCAGAGCAGGGGATGATTTCTGGAGGGACATGGGAGGAGTCCTTTGATTTTCCCATTGGAGATATGGGGCTTGTGCAATGTTCTTTCTCTTGTTACCTTCACTGACTGCTTGGGTGGGTGGGCTGGGGGTGAAGGATTATTGCTAGTTCTGTTTCAGGGGGTGAAACTAGATTTGCTGCTGAGAAAATGATGCCTTCTCCATGTGTGTTATGTCCAAAACTCTTCTATCAGCTGCTGGTGGGATAAAGAGAGAGGGAAAGCTGAGTCATTTTCAAGGAGGTAGATAAGACTGAGGTTTGGGGGGAGGATCTTTTTACAGACTGGAACTAGGAGCTCTGCATTTGCATGAGAAAATGTGGTTCAGCTTATTTCTTTTTTTGTGAGGCAATCAGGGTTAAGTGACCTGCCCAAGGTCACACAGCTAGTATGTGTCAAGTGTTTGGTCTGAGGCCAGATTTGAACTCAGGTCCTCCTGACATCAGGGCTGGTGCTCTATCCACTGCGCCACCTAGCTGCCCCTGCTTATTTCTTTCTTTTCTCTTTCTTCTTTTTTTGGTAAATAGTATTTTATTTTATTTTTTCCAATTACATGTAAAGATAGTTTTCAACATTCATATTTTTTCCTTGCAAAAATATATTTATTAATACTGGCATTAATAATGAGAGTAAAAAGTGTTTTTTTGTATTATTGTTATATAAAACACAAATTCTTTTAAAATATTGTTTACTTTATCTCATCCTCTTGGAACTTCTATTTTTGTGTATATTTTATAATGTACATGTTATATTTGTATAGTAGTAAATAATTTTTTAGAAAATCTATTAACTGTATTAAACATTTTAAAAATTATTCAGGTAACAAATATCTTACTACCACTCCTCCATTAAGCAAATTAAAATAAAACAAAAACAAAACATAACCTTTAATACATATCAATAAAATCTGAAAAAAAAAGAAATTCTTAAATTAGCTATGTCTGAAAATGTAGGTCTTTTTCTGCATTTTAACTTCATCACCTCTCTCTCTTTTTGAATGTTTTGTTTTCATTCTTTTGGACTCATATTTATCAGAATTAGTTAGATCAGGGTTCTAAAGTCTTTCAAAGTTATTTTTCTCTACATTGTTTTTGCCATTGAATAAATTGTTCTGGTTCTGCCCATTTTGCTCTGCACTGATTCATAAAGGCTGGTTTCCACTGAAATTGCCCATTTCATTATTTCTTATTGGCACAGTAATATTGTGTTATATTCATATATCACAATTTCTTTAGCCATTACCCAGAAAGAGGACAGTTCTTGGGTTTCCAGTTTCTGGTTACTATGAAGAGCTGCTGTAGATATTTTTGTGCCTATACCTCCTGTTCCTCTCTCTTTGATCTCTTTGGGGCATAGATCTAGTGGTAATATGGCTAGCTCATAGGGTATACACTATTTGGTAACTTTCTGGGCATAGTTCCAAATACTTCCTAGAAAGGCTGGACCAATTACAGCTCTACCAACAATATGCTAGTATACATGTTTCTTTATAGCTCCTCCAGCATTTGTAATTTTCCTCTTTTGCCAATTTGATAATAGGTGTGCAGTGGAAACTCAAATTTGCTTTAATTTGCATTCCTTTAATTATTCATATTTTAGACATTTTTTATATGATTGTTGATAGCTTGGCTTTTTTCCTTTGAAAGTTTTCTGTTCATATCCTTTGGTCATTTATCTATTGGATAATGGTACTTAGAAAATAATTTGATTTAATTTCTTATGGATCTTGGAAACAAGAGAAATTTGCTTCAGAGATTTCCTCCCCCTACATTTATAAACTTAAACAATTTAAATATGAGATCCTTGACCAGTGACAAATGAATGGACATAGGCCCCAGGAAAAACCCTGGGACAACTGAACCAGAAGAAAGATGGGATACAGCAGTCCAGTAGCCCAGAAAGCTTGAGGGATTAATGGGAAAGGCCCCTCTCGCCCTGGAGGAAGGGGAGCAGTACAGAATAGGAGGTGACCCAGCAAGCTAGAAGAAAGCCCCACCTCAGCATACCAGGAGGAGATCCTGAAACCCAGGTGGTGGAGCAGGCAAACATCAACACCTGGACTCCTGAGTGCCTCAGTGAGGGCAGGGGAACTGATGGAAACCAGCTTGGAAAACCATCAGGTACCTCAGCATTCTACAGCAACTGGGTCTCTCAGTGCCTCAGCAAAACTAAGGGAAACAGTGCTCCAAGGGGCCACAGGTGGAAAAACATCCTGCAACCTCCATCTGAAATGAGCTGAAGAAAGCAAAAGGAAGGAAAGGCCCAGGTGAGTAGGAAATCTCCAGGAGACACACTACCCAAGTCCTAGAACCAGAAGGTAAAATAGCCATAGAAAGCATCCACCAAACACCTCCTGAAAGAAATCCCAAATTGAAAACGCCAAGGAACATAGCAGCCAAATTACAAAATTACTATGTCAAAGAGAAAATACTGCAAGCAGCCAGAAAGAAACAATTTAAATATCATGGAACCATGGTCAGGATTACAAAGAACCTTGCAGTTTCTACATTAAAAGACTGTAAGGCGTGGAATATGGTATTCCATAAGGCAAAGGAGCTTGGATTACAACCAACGATTAACTACCCAGTGAAAATGAGCATGATCTTTCAGGGGAAGAGATGGATATTCAACGAAATAGGGGACTTCAAACCCTTCCTGATAAAAAGACCAGAGCTCAACAGAAAATTTGATCTTCAAATACGACTCGAGAGACATAAAAAGGTAAACAGGACAGAAAGAAAAATGTTATTAATAAGAGCAAACTGTTTACATCCCTGCAAGAGAAGATGACACTTGTAACCCTTGAGAACAGTATTGTTATTACACCATGTTAAAGGGGTATACATAAAGGGGGTGGTTATAAGTTGACTTTGATGTAATGATAAAAAAAAATCTAATCAAGTGGGTCAAATGGATCCAAGAAAGTGGATTAATCTGATCTAAAAAAATGTACTGAGACAAAAGGAAAGGAGGAGGCAGACAAGGGTAAGTTACATTATAGGAAAAAGCACAGACACCTATTACAGCAGAGGGAAAGAAGGGAGGGAGATGTACATTGTTTGAACCTTACTCTCATCAGATTTGGCTCAAGAAGGAAATTACATAATCAGTTAGGTACTAATATTGATAGACTTAACCCTTCTCAGCAATACAAGGATCTAAGACATCTCCAAAGGCCTCATGATGGAAAATGCTATCCACATCAAAAGAAAGAACTATAGAGTTTGAATGCAGTTCGAAGCATACTATTTGCTTTTTTTTCTTCTGTTATATTTTGTTTCCTCTTTCTGGTGGTTCCTCCTATTGGTTCTAATTCTTACAACATCACTAATGTGAAAATATGTTTAATAGGAATGTATATGTATAGCCTATATCAGATTGTGTGATGTCTTGGAGAGGGAGGTGGGGAGGGACGGGAAGAAAAGTTAAAACTCAAAAGTTTATGGAAGTGATTGTTGATAAATCAAAGTAAATTAATTAAAAAGGTAAAAAAAAAATAAATCAGTATGGCAAAAAAGAGAAACTTCATTTCAAGATTTTTAAACAGTCCATAAAATTTTATTTTCAAGTTTCCAGTGTGTGCAGACACAAGAGTTTTTATAGTTGACACACATTATTTTTGGAAGCAAAAGCTTAGTTTTAAAAAGTCTTGCTAATCATGATGGCTTCATTCTATCATTAATATTTCAAAGCAAAATACATACTTAGGGCAAGGTTCATCATTAACAATAGTAGATGTAAATTATATTTTTTGTTTTGTTTCAATACATTAAAAAAAATTTTTGTTAAAAAAAATGAATGAACATACCATGGGAGCAACGGAGTTGTATGAATCTTGAAATTCTTGCCATAAATGAAATCAGAGAATGGCTCACAGGTTCTTCTTGGAGAGGCAAATAAAAGACGTGGTAGAGTTGGTTTTATTGTATGCCTAAAGGCCATAAGGAACCTCATTTCATGGGACATTTGAAGTTCACTAAAATGTGGGTTCTTTGCAAAGAAGGATTGCTCCATTCTTTGTACTTGTATCTTCAGTGCCTTCCTGGCACATAGTAGGTGTTTAATAAAGCCTTGTTGATTGTTTTTTCATGCGATAAGTTTTTGTAAAAAGATGACCATGAAGATAATTTTAGGCTATGTACCAACATTTGTTGGAGAGGATAAACGTGTAGAAGATTTCTATGAAGATCTTAACATAACCCTTTAAATTACATCATCATTGACTTTGAAACTTAGTGACTTAAATGCAAAGTTGGAAATAGATGAGGATAACGAGAAATATTTTGGAACACCAAAGTTGTTCACCGTTGGGATGGAGGAGATCAGCTCAGTCCGAGTTAAAGAAAGATTCCCTTTGGATAGTAAAGGCCTCTAGTTGGTCCTGTTTACAGATGACATCGTGCTGGTTTCATCAAGCTCTGGAACATTGCAAAGCCTCCTTTTTATGGTTTATCTTGATTTCTTTGTTTGCAATTCAAAGTTTCTTTGCAGCTCTGGCCTTTTCATCAGGAATGCTTAGAAGTTCTTTATTTCATTAAAGATTTATTTTCTAGCAGTGGGAGATGGGATCAGCATTGCAGAGGGGCTTCCAAATTGAGGAGTTTGCAATGGTGGTTGGCTGTACCTGGGCAAGGAAGCTCCAAGCACTGTGGAAAGTTCCAGGATGAGCCAGTCTGGTTTGGAAGTCTGGAAGCCAGGAGCAGTGGGCCTGGATGGGAATGGAGACTTGAGAGGAACTGGCCAGGGGGCCACAGCCTCTGTCTCTGCTCAGTCAATATTCATTTTTAATAAGATTTTGAGTTTCAAATGTTTTCTCCTCCCCTTCTTCCCATTCCACCTCCCCAAGATGGCAAACAATCTGATATAGGTTACACATTTGCAATAATGTAAACATATTTCCACATTAGTCATATGAAAGAAGAAACAGAACAAACGGGAAAAAACTCAAAAAAAGTAAAAATAGTATGCTCCGATTTGCATTCAGACGCCTTAGTTCTTTCTCTGGAATTGGATAGCATTTTCCATCAGGAGTCTTTGGAATTGTCTTGGATCACTGTATTGTTGAGAAGAGCTACGTCAATCATAGTTAATCATTGCACAATGTTGCTATTATTGTGTACAATGTTCTCCTGGTTCTGCTCATTTCACTCAGCATCACTTCACATAAGTCTTTCTAGGTTTTTCTGAAGTCTACCTGCTCCTCATTTCTTATAGCACAATAGCATTCCATTACATTCATATGCCACAACTTCTTCAGCCATTCCCCAATTGATGGACATGTCCTCAATTTCCAATTCTTTGCCACCACAAAAAAAAGCTGATATAAACATTTTTGCACATGTGGATCATTTTCCCTTTTTAATGATCTCTTTGGGATACAGACCTCGTAGTGGTATTGTTGGATCACAGAATATGCACAGCTTGATTGCCCTTTAGGCATAGTTCCAAATGATCAGTTGGATCAGTTCACGACTCCACCAGCAGTGCATTAGTGTTCCAATTTTCACACACCTCCTCCAACATTTATCATTTTCCTCTTTTGTCATGTTGGCCAACCTGATAGGTGTGAGGTGGTACCTCAGAGTTGTTTTAATTTGCATTTGTCTAATCAGTAGTGATTTACAGCATTTTAATATGGCTATAGATAGCTGTAATATCTTCATCTGGAAACTGCCTGTTCATGACCTTTAACCATTTGTCAGCTGAGGAATGACTTGTTTTCTGATAAATTTGACTCAGTTCTCTGTGTATTTGAGAAATGAGGCCTTTATCAGAAATACTTGCTATAAAAATTGTTTCTCATATCTCTGCTTTCCTTCTAATCTTGGTTATGTCAGTTTTGTTTGTGCAAAACCTTTTTAATTTAATGTAGTCCAAATGATCTGTTTTTCATTTTGTGATGTTCTCTATCTCTTCTTTGGTCTCCATAGATCTGACAGGTAAACCATCCCGTGCTCTCCTAATCTGCTTATGGTATCACCCTTTATGTCTAAATCATATACCCACTTTGACCTTTTCTTGGTATATGGTGTGAGATGTTGGTCAATGCCTGGTTTCTGTCATACTGTTTTCCAGTTTTCCCAGAAGCTTTTGTCTAACAGTGAGTTCTCATCCCAGAAGCTGGAGGCTTTAGGTTATTTATTTTCATCCTCCCAAACCACTGTGATTATAGAGGAGAAACTGAAGGTCACCTGATATATGTTAAAGTCACTCCAATGCATTTTATATCAGGCTATACTTTGATGTCCTTTGATAAAAGGGGAAGGCTAATCTTTCAGAGGGACTCCTGACCCTTGTCCTTCTGATTCAGGAAGAGTGTGGCCGTGTGCCCTGACAGTTGAGAAGTCTCTAGCTCTTTGACTCTAGGTTGGAGAGCTGGAAGGAATCTTAAGGACCATTGAATTCAATGCCCTTTTCCCATTTAATCAAAGAGGAGGCACAGGCTTAGGGAAGGGAAAGGAATTGTATCAAATTCACACAGGCAGTAAATTGGAGAGCTGTGATGTGAACCCCTATCCTCTGAGCCCTAAAACAGTCCTCTGTGCATCCAACCTTATCACCTATTACTCTATTCACATTTGTTATGTTGTTGCTCAGTGGTTTTTCAATCGTGTCTGGATCTTGGTGATCTCATTTGGGGTTTTCTTGGCAAAGATATTGGAATTGGTTTGCCATTTCCTTCTCCAGTTTATTTTACAAAAGAGGGAACTGAGGGCAAATAGGTGAAATGACATGCCCAGAGTCACACAGCTAGTGTCTGAGGCTGGTTTTGAACTCAGGAAGATGAGTCTTCCCGATACATACTATAGCCCAATGTAACTACTTTCCATCTGCCTTTCTTCTCTTGCCCTCCTCTATCTCCCTTCTTTGTCTATGTTTTTACCATGCCCAGAAAGCATTTCCTCAGTCTAGTTCTGTTGAAGACTCTTCATTAAAGACTCAGATTGGCTCTGCTACTTGTAGCAGAGCTTTTCCTGACTCTCCTCATATCTTTTCCTAGCTCTTTGCCAGGAACTGTCCTTTATACCTCTCTCTTGTATTCCTAGTTATTGGTGCACAGGTCATTGTTCTCTAGGAGAATGGAAATTCCTGCCATTTTATCCTCAACTCAGAGCTGAGGGCATTGACCATGGTAGGTGCTCCTTAAGTATTTGCTCAGTTGGGTCATATGGATAAACTACATGGCACGGATTTTTAGTTCTGTACTTTCCTAAGCTAGGCTGGGGGTGGGGATTGTTGGGGGAGTAGTAGCTTTGATCTTGAGACTCAGGTTCCCAATGCTGGACAGCTTCTGAGTCAGTGGCAGAGCTGTCTCAAAGTGTAAATGGCCCTTCTCTGGAGTAAGTTCCGCATCACTGGAGATCTTGGAGGGAAATGAAAAGAATCATGGGAGAAATAGGAGGAGCCTTGCATTCCCATCTAATGAAAAAATGGTCATGGTGGGGGATTTAGAGGGGGTATCATTTCAGCCCTCTGTCCCTGAGGATTTCTCTCCCTTTTGTTCACAGGGCATCATGCAGATGACTTCATAAGGACCACTGAGTCTGGACAGATCCAAGGGACTCAAATCAGTATCAAGGGGATTGACAAAGTTGTCAATGTTTTCTTGGGAATCCCCTTTGCCAAACCCCCTGTAGGGGCCCTGAGGTTTTCTCCTCCACAACCACCAGATTCATGGAGCAATGTGAAAGATGCAACCTCTCATCCACCCACGTAAGTACTTTCTTCTCTCCTTTTCTTACCAGATAAGCCCAGGGCGCCATCATGTCTTACCCACATTTTGTCTCTGTGTACTCTGCACACAGTAGACATTTCTTAAATATTTATTGAAGGAACGAATGTTCCTTTATCTCTCTCTGAGCTCTGAGGCCTCAAATAATTGCTTAATGATAATAGTTTGCATTTATTTGGACTTTAGAGAATAATAGACTTTAGAAAAATACTGTGAGGTAGTTAGTACACATATTGCTATAGATGGGAAAACAAAGGCTAACAGAGATTAGAGGCAGCTAGGTGACTCAGAGGATAGAATACTGGGCCTGCAGTCAGAAAGACTTCAGTTCAAATTTGACCTCAGACACTTACTAGCTATGTGACCCTGGGCAAGTCACTTCACCCTATTTGCCCTCAGTTTCCTCATTTGTAAAATGAGCACAAGAAGGAAATTGCAAACGGCTATAATGTTTCTGCCAAGAAACTTCATACAAGGTAATGATGGGTCAGACATGACTGAACAACAACAGAGATTAAGTGAGTCATCTAATGTCACAAATCTAGTAAATAACAAAGCCAGAACTCATAGACTGATAGGCTTGGAAAGCAAGGGGAGGCCTTAGAGGTCATTGAATCAGACCCATCATTTTGTTTCTTGAGTAGTTTGATTACTTTTGCTTTGGAGACCACACTTATGGCCCATTCCACACCCCAGCCTCCCTCCTACCCCTCCAAACTAATACTCCTCTGTAACAAAGAAAATCCAATTGACAGTGGCCAGCAGTGATGCTCTTAGTAAAATGCCTCTTGTCATTGTCCATATTCCCTCCACTTTCATCAATCTGCAGCAGGTTTTCTGAGTTACTCACATTCATCCTCTTTTACAGTGCAGTCCCATTCCACGACATTCACAAACTGCAATGTGTTCAACTATCCGCCTCTTGGTAATATCTATTTGGTTTCCACATTAGTTTTTTTATTTAAAAAAAACTTTGTTTCCAACTTAACAATCACCAATAAACCCGAACATTTCAATAAACAATGAAAAAGAAAAAAAGACTGTATAAGAAGTTGTGAAATGTTAGCAAGTCACTGCACCTCTGCCTGCCTCAGTTTCCTCATCTGTAAATTAGGGATAACAATAACACCTACCTCTCAAGGCTATTGTGATGGTCAAACGAGATTGTAAAGTGCCTTGCAAATCTCAAAGCACTCAGTTATCATTACTATTATTATTATCATCATCCCCATATAATTCTATTCAGATCACTCATCTCTTGTGTTTTCCAGGTGTTTGCAGGATATCATTATCCTAGAAAGAACGGCAGCAGTCATGAAAGTAAACATTCCTTTTCCTCCCAATTCTGAAGACTGTTTGTACCTTAATATCTATGTTCCTGTCCATGCAAAAGAGGGAGCCAGATTGCCGGTAAGCCAGATCTCTGTAACTTCCACTGCAGGAGATGAGAATTCTAAGGCATGAGAACTGTGTGGGACCTTTGAGGTCACCTCGTCCCACCAGCATGAAAATTGTCATCTTTTCTAAATATCTCTGACAGGTCATCTAACCTTCCCTGAGGTTGTCAGGGAGCTCACTACTTCTCAAGGCAATCCACTCTACTCTTGGGCAACAACTCACATAGTTAGCAAGTGTTTCCTCCTATGAGGCTGAAATCTGCCTCCTTATTACTTCAAGGCATCTAGATGGCACAGTGGATAGAGTGCCAGGCCTGGAGTGAAGAAGACTGACTCCTGAGTTCAAATCTGGCCTCAGACATTTACTAGTATGTGATCCTGAGCAACTCACTTCACCCTGTTTGCCTCAGTTTCTTTATCTAGAAAATAAGCTGGAGAAGAATATGGCAAACCACTCCAGCATCTCTGCCAGGATAACTGCATGTAGGGTCAAGGAGAATAGGACATGACTGAAAATGACTGAAATAACTTCAAGGGATTGGTTCTATGATCTGGAATGATATCAATGTCTGCTAAATATCATTATTGCTAAAGGAACAGAGCAAAGTATTTATAAAGTGTGACCTTTTTCCAAACACTTTTTTATCTTGTCCAGACCTATGTTCTCATTTCTATGGGAAACTTCACTTTGTGGAAACTCTTTCTGTTAATGAAGACAGGTGCCTCTTTTGTAACTTAGAGTCTTGGCTTGTCAGGTGTAATGAGATGCTAATTAACTTCTTTGTGATCACATATCTCTTATATGGATATATCACATGTGTCCAAGGCAGGACTTGAACCCAGCCCTTCTCACTCCAAGGCTAGTCCTCTATCATCTACACCAGGCCTCCTTCCTTAAAATAAATAATAGTGAACCAAACTGCTCAAATGTCATCTCCCCATGAAGCCTTCTCTGAACCTCAACAAACCAACATTCAATTCAATAACCATTTCTTCAAACCTGGAACATTTCTCCTTACTGCTGGGGATACTAAGAGAGATGTGTTTTCTTCACCTTAAGGTTACTTTAACTTTATTTTGGATTTCACTTATGACACTTATCATTTAACTTATGACACTTAATACAGTCTATGTTGCTGTTAGGTCATTTTTCAGTTGTGTCAGATTCTTCATGACCCCATTTGGGTTTTCTTGGCAAAGATACTAGAGTGATTTGCCACTTCCTTCTAGCTCATTTTACAGATGAGGAAACTGAGGCAACCAGGTTCAAGTGATTTGCTCAGGGTCACGCAGCTTGTAAGTGTCTGATACCAGATGTGAACTCAGAAAAATGATTCTTCCTGACTTCAAGCCCAGCACTCTGTCCTCTATGCCACCTAACTGACCCAAACAGATTGTCTGTCTGCATTAAGGTTTTTAGATCCATATCCTATCCTTGCCCTTTGATTGACTGAAAGTACTTTGAGGGCAGGGACCTAGTCTTATTCAAAATACCCATCACAGAGCCTTGCACATAGTAGGTGCTCAGTAAATGTATTGAATGAATGAATATACCACAAAGCCAGAGCAAGTTCCTAAATATAGGATTATCAGAGTTGTTTCCATAAAAGGAACTTGGAGTTTGGAATACTCCAGGGCTTGGAGGATGAGAAAACTGGAAGAAATGCCACCCATGCTGGCCCTGCAAAGGGAAACAAGGAATGAATTTCCATTGCTTCCAGGAGACATCAGGGCACCTGGAAGGAAGGAGTGAGGTGGGGAAGATGTGAGGTTGCCTGCTTCCATGTGGCAGAGGACTTTTGTGCAAGAGAAACTGAGCTTGATCAGGGAAAGCTCAGCAAAACTGGGTTCAGAACAAACTATACTAGAAAGAATGGGATCTTACAGTATTCTTCATTGTTAGTATCCTAACGGTTTATGTTTTGTATGGAGGGTGGGAAGGGAGATGGATGTAGTAGCAACCAAACCACAGAGTGAAGTGAAGAGAGCATAGGATTTAGAATGAGAATTCCTGAGCTCAAAGCTCAGCTCTGCCACTTACTAGATGTACGACCTTTTGCAAGTCACTTAACTTTTCTGGGCCTCAGTTTCCTCATCTGTCAAATGACAGAGTTGCACTAGTCCATCTCTAAAATCCCTTTCAGCTTCTAAAACCTATGATTCAATGATCCTGCCTGAGACAGTTCCCGGGTCCACAGTCATATCCACCAAGATGATCACCCAACAGAAGGAGGTGCAAGGCAAGTCCACTTGTGTGAAGGCCTCCCTGTTGTCACCCTGTACTCAGTTATTCACAGCAAAGTGTGCCCTCCCCATAGCCAGTCCATGCTCTGGCTTTCTCAGTGCCCAGGATTTGGTCCATTTCATTTGCTCATATAGCAGCAATCTGTCTACTTCCTGATGCCCAAACATGTCCCCCAGAGGATTCCGGCCAATCCCTTACTACATTCCATAGAAGGGAAAGAATCTTCCCATGTGAGCAAAAAGCCCCTTCAGCTCTCTGCCCCTCCTAGGCATGCAGCATCCCAATGCACTGACCAAAGGAACCATATAATGAAAACACCATAGGGTTATCTGAACAGTAACAGTAGGTCTTTCTCTTGTAATTTTAGACGTAGAGAATATAAGAATTCCTCCTCATCCAGCATTTAACACTTAGAATTATGCTCTCTCCACTGAGCTAGTTGGCTCAGTGGATAGAGCACTGGGCCTGGAGACAAGAAGACCTGAGCTCAGATCTGGCCTCAAGCACTCACTAGCTCTGTTAGCTTGGGCAAATTGCTTAACCTCTCTTTGCCTTAATCCACTGGAGAAGGAAGTAGCAAATCACTCCAATAGCATTGCCAAGAATCCCCCACACAGGGTCACAAAGAGTTGGACACAACTCAACAACATTATGCTTTTAAGAAGAAAATTTGATTTTTAACTCTTGCTGGCTCTGGTTTTCTGATGGTTATGTTCCCCCCATGGCTTAGCCTTGCCTGAAAATTATTGTGGTCTCCTATGCTGGAGTTGGGCAATCCTGTTTGGTGTCTGTGATATAAGATTGAAATGACATCCCTCCCTGCCCCACCCCATCTCCACAAGGCAAATCACAATGGGAAGGATTAAACACAGGCTTATGGCAGGAGATGGGTTAAAGTCTTTTAAAGATGGGTTTTAATAATTTGAAACTTCTCCCTAAAAGTGAGTAACCTAGAAGAACCAAAAATGAAAAAATGAAAGAATTTACTTTGATAATTTGATTGATATTTGATTATTTATTATATTGATTTGATAATTTTGATTGATTAAAAGGAATAGCAAATTGTACATAGCAAATTTGCATGTTCAAGTGCAATCATCTTTTTTATTATGCTGTTATAGAAAAGAATGCTTTATTCCATAAATTAAAAATAAAAAAGAACCAATAGAAGGCATATCCTAGTGCTAGTAATCTATTCCAGCAGCTTATATTGCCTTTGAGAGAGCAGCTATTGTCACATAGAAAGGTTCTCTGGACCGTAGCTGAAACACCCACATAAAAATGATGTGACATAAAGAGCTTTTGTCCAAGGTGCATTCTCCATTGTTGAGTTGGGTCTGTGTCACTAAGAAGGGAGTCCTGCATCTTGTGCCTGGTTTGGGGGGGGGGGTACAAGGACCCTTTAGAAGAGGCTGTTTGGCTCTGTGTGTATCTTTGGCAGCAGGAGGACCTCAGGGAGCTGATCCTGCCAGGAAGATTCCAAGGTAGATCTGAACTGCCTCTGAGCCAAGTAAAGTGGGCTCTTACTTGAGAGTAGCTCTGATGCATACCCTATACACTCTTGATATCTTGATAAATGAATTCGCTCACATTTAGAGCTACTTTAACATTGGTCACAAGATGACAGGATATAGTATTCTCCTGTTGAGCAAGGGAGTGAAAAAGCCATGCTTGGTGGGATTTGTTCCTGTAAGGAAAACCATGTCTGATTTCTGCAGGTGATGGTGTGGATCCATGGTGGTGGTCTCATTTTTGGCGGTGCTTTCCTATATGATGGTTCAATATTGTCTGCCTCTCAGAATGTCATAGTGGTCACCATCCAGTACAGGCTGGGCATCCTGGGGTTCTTCAGGTGAGATTTGACCCCAGTAAAATGTGAGCATAAGTTTTTTTCCCTGATGAATTCCCAGTTCTGAGTGGTTGAATGATGATAAACATAAATTCCTGTCTAGATGATATATCTCTTGCCTTCCCTTGCCTTCCCTTGCCTTCCCCACAAACTAGTCATGGTGTAGTAGAAAAAGAACTAGATTTGTGGCCAGTGGACCCAATTTCATATTATGGCCCCGCTTCTTATGACCAATAAATTCACTTGTCCCTTGGCCTCAGATTCAAGATAGATAGATAGATAGCTAGACAGACAGATAGATGGATGGCTGGATAGATAGATTAGCAGACAGATCAGCAGGTAGATAAAACATTTATTAAGCACCAGGCACAGTATTAAGTGCTGGAGTTACCAAAAAAGAAAACAAGATGACCCTACTGTGTTAACCTAACCCCAGCTTGCTGTATTGCATAGTAATAAAGCTCATGATTCCATTAGCTTTTCAAGTACTAATTTTCTGTGATGTCTTACTCTAAAGTTATCTACCCCTTTTACTGTGCTCTCTGGAGTACTTGCTTCATAAGTAACAAACCTGTTTCCATCTTTAACCCTTTCCTTTCTTACCCCTTCTACCTACTTGTTCTCACTAAACCCTGACTTTTTTCTGATGACGCAGCTTTCCTGGTGACCATTTCTAACACTATTTGTATTTTCATTCCTACCTGAATCACAGGGATGCCAAAATACTCTGTTTCCCACTGCCACTTCCAGACTGTCCCTCTACCACCATCACTCAGCAACTTCTCATTTCAGGTTCATTCAATCCATATTCATCACCCAATCAAAGTCTAGTAACTGTTATTTACCATCCTCATGGACACTCTCCTTCTTTTCTCAATGAATTCAGTGCCTTGTTTCCAGTCTTTCTCTCTTTCCCAACTCCCACCTTCATACTGAAGGATTTCAACATTCATTTTGTTATTCCCTTCAACATTCTTACTCCCTATTTCCTCAGTGTGTTCATTTCTCATAACCTACTCCTCCACCCCACCTCAGCTATATACAGAGATCGTACCACCCTTGATTTTACCTGACTCCTAAGTGTCCCATCTCTATGTTCATTAACTATGAAATTCCTCCATCTAGTTATAATCTCTTGTCCTTCCACTAGATTCTCTGCCTGGTAACCCCTAAACCTGTTCTTCATCTTCACCTTCACTGTCAATCCCTTACTCCTCAGTTCTTTCCCAGGCCATCACCCCTGCCTGGTTACATTCTCTTACCTTCCCCAACTTAACCCCTTAGTGAACCACTTCATCTCTACACTGAACCATTATCCTATGACAAATCTTTCCCTGCTAAACCTCAGCCTTGGATTACTCACATCACTCACTCCTTACGCTCTTCTTTCCATACTGCTGAATGAAGCTAGAGAAAACCATGAAACTGTGCTGCCTGTGTCCATACAGATTAATGTTACATACTCTTACCTTTCTCCTCACTGTGGCAAGGCAATCTTTCTGCACCTCTGTAATCAATTCACTTTCTCATTCACCAGAGTGGCTTTTCTAAGCCTTCGCATCCCTCCTCAAACTTCTCATGCCTCCTCTCCTCACTATCTCAACTCAGAACCTTGCTTTATACTTTGCTGAAAAAAAAATGAGGCCATTCACTGAGCTCCCTCATATCCCCTCCTCCTTACCTCACATTAATCAGATGCCTTCTGTTACTATCTCCTCCTTTACCTCTTACTTACATGAAAAAAATGGACCTTTTCTTCTCCGAGGTTAAGCTTTCTACACACACAAATGATTGCATTCCATCCAGTCTTTTCCAGAAGAGTGCCCTTTCGATCATTCTCACTTTCAATACTCTTTAATCTCTGTCTCTTTCTGTCTCTATCTATCTCTCTCTCTCTCCTCCCCCCCCTCCACCCTTCCCTCTACCCCACTGTTTCCCTACTACCCACACTTGGACTAATAATACCTGCTTGGTCGGCCTCTTTGCCTCTTCTCTCCCTAATCTAGTTCATCCTCCACTCAGCTGTCAGTGATCTTCCTACAGCACAGGTCAGACCATCATCCCCTTGTTCAATCAATCAGTCAGTTAACAAGCATTTTTAGCACTTATTATATGCCAAGCACACTGCTTAGTGTTTTGAGATAGAAAAGAAAGTCAATTCCTACCCTCTGGGACCTCACATCTAATGGGAGACAACATGTAAAAAGCCATATAGATGCAAAATATATGCAATGTACAGGAGATGTAATCTCAGAGGGAAGGTGTGACAATTGTGATTTTTGAAACACATTGATGTTATAAATGATAGAACTCCACCATGGAGTTACAGGGTAAGTGGTCCTAACGACCATAAAACATTTAAGCAGTAGCAGACAGCCAGTACTTTCACAAGCCCTGACTCATTCTAATCCTGTGAATAACCGCAGCTCCTGAATGGACTCCCAGCAGACTGTATAGCTCGGTGCTGGCACCCATCCTGGAGTCCCTGAGTCCAGTATCAATAACAGATTCTGAGGAATTTCCCCACCACACCCAGGACTGATTAAGAGTTCCCTCTCTCACATTGGGTCTGGTTGTGTGAACCAAACAATCCTCCCTTTAAGGGATAAGACTGACCTGCTCAGAGCCCACTCTGAGTGTATACTCCCACCAAGACCTTGCTACTGTACAAGTCCCCTGCACGTGAGTGCCCTGAATCTCTCTGTCAATGCAGGTTGTAATATGTGTGTGTGTGTGTTTGTATGTTGCTTCATTTTGCCTGCTTAGTAATTACCTACATGGTAATAAAGCTTATGCTTCTCCTAGCTTCCCAGTAACAATTTTCTATAAAGCCTCAAGCTGGGGTCCTTGTTCTAGAAGGCTCTAGCAGTGATGGTGTGTGGGGGAGGGGGAGGAGGAAAAATGAGATCTCTTGTAGAAGGTGGGATTAGAGCTGTCTCACATTCCTTCAAGGAATTCCAGTCATGAGGACAGCCAGTGAAAGTCAGATTTGGGAGATAGAAAGTTGTATGTGAGGATGAGGAGTACAATGTTGCTGGATTGCAGAGTTCGTGGAGAAGAGCCTGGCCTCCACCTACCTCTACAATCTTCTCACACTCCTTCACATTCTCTGCCTCCTTCATGATGCTTACATAAGATATTCCATTGAATCTGTTCCTTTTCATTCCTCCTCTCCTCCTCCTGGTTTCCTTGAGGACTTGGTGCTAATCCCACCTTCTGCAAGAAGCCTCTCCCTGCCTCCCTTACTGCCAGGGCCTTCCCTCTGGGATCATCCCCAATCTATCCTGTATAGATCTTCTTTGGGTACATCTTTCTGCATGCTAGCTCCCTCATTAAACTGTAAACTCCTCGAGGGCAGGGACTATGTTTACCTTTCTTTGTATGCCCAGAGCTTGGTATAGTGCCTGGCACATAGTAGGTGTTCAGTAAATGTTTCTTGACTTGACATTCTAATATAGGAAGACAAAACCGAAAGGAGAGCTAATAAAAAAGGAGAAGGAAGGGAGAGTGGGGGCAAGGCAGCTGGTGGGGAGGTGGAAGAGATCAGGGAGTAAGCTGGAAGGGAAGAAAGCAGCATTGCGGATGCTCCCCGTGGAAGGCACAGTAAGCCATGGAAAGAGGCACGCACTGGGAGTGCTTCGAGTGGGGGAATTCAATCTGTGTTGTCAATTTACATCTGTAAAATAAGAACAGCAACAACTAGCATTTGTATGGCCCTTTAAGGTTTACAGAGTCCATTATAAAATTGTGTCTCATTTTATCCTTGCAACAACTCTGAGAGATATATGCCATCATTATCCCCATTTTATAGAGAAGGTAACTGAGGCAGTGATCTAGGTGACTACCCCATGGTCACCCATCTAGCAGATGAACACTGGTCTTGCCAGGTCTAGGTTCAGCAGTCTATCCACTGCCTCATCCAGCTGGAGGAAATGCTCTTTAAATCTCATAATGCTATTAACCTGGTGTTCTTCTTCTGAAGTCTCCAACCTTGTCTAATATCTGGCTTTCAGCACTGGGGATGAGCACGCACCTGGCAACTGGGGTTTCCTGGATCAGGTGGCTGCCCTGAGGTGGGTCCAGAAGAACATTGCCCACTTTGGAGGAGATCCTGGCCGTGTGACCATCTTTGGCGAGTCAGCAGGGGGGATGAGTGTTTCCTCACACGTAAGTGGTAAAGAAATGACCCCAGCCTGAAGGGGGCCTCTTGTAGTCAAATCAAAGATATCCAGAGGTGTATCCTTGTTCTGGGAAGTTTGGGTTCAGGCAAAGGACCGCACTGGAGAGCCTAGAGGTGGCCTCGAGACTGCAGGTTCCCCAGCCCAAGGTGGACCTGAGTTTTTCTTCCTCTTCTTTTATCCTTCCACCACTCAGAACCATTGGGGGTGATGACTTCTTTCTCTAAGAGTGGCACCTGCCCTTGCCTTTCATTTGGAGACCCCACTACACTCCCTTGCCCTAGTCCCAACTAATCATCTAGGCCCTTCTTTGTCTTGCTTTACTGGAGACAGAAAATGAGCAATTCTTTTTTAAAGGCTTACTAACAACTTCACGTAAGAGCAAAAGAAAAGTATAGGGTAATGATGAAATAATTCAAGGCCCAATGGATTCCAGATTTCACCACTGAGGTTCACCTGTTCACAACACTGCTCAAAGCCTCTGTGCCTTCCCAGGTGGCCTTTGTGACCAGCTGTGGCTGCAGACCTGCTCTCTCTAGTCTTTATTGATGAGCCGCTGAGAGCTTAGCATGCCTGGAACTCATATGACACACATAAAATCCATCAGAGGGCTTAGAGGCAAGGATCTTTTGACTTAGTAGCCCTCCTCCCCCAGGAGTTTGCACATCACTGACAGCCTCCAGGATGTGATAAGGCATGGGAGGAAGACTTCAGTGGAAGGATAATGCTGAAAAAAAAATTGCTGATGGGAAAGTGGGAAATTCCTATTATATAGTAGAAAAACTGTTGGATTTAAAGTCATTTGATCCTCACAACAGCACTGGGTTTTCTCATAATTAATAAACAATAACCAATAATTAATAAACAAGGTGACCTTATAAGGAGGTAGGGTATAGGAATAGCATTGCTGAGTTACAGAACACAGGCATTTTATCATACCCTGTTACTGTACCAACCAGACAGTCCTGCACCATGGCCAAGGATACTTAGCCCTCTTTTCTGTCTAAATATCTTACAGGCCTGGCTGTGCCCAAGGGCCCCAAGGCCCTGGTCCCATAGAGAGGCTACTGTTTGGGGCTGTCCTATATGGGTAGTTTAGGGATGTGGCAGGTAAGTAACAGTCCTGGCCTTCAGACTCCCAGTCTCCTCTGTCTCTACTAAGCCAGGAGTGCTGGGCCTCCTCATGACTGCTTCTTTTTCTCCCCTGCTCCCCCAGGTTCTGTCCCCCATGTCCAAAGGTTTGTTCCACAGAGCAATCATGGAGAGCGGCGTGGTCATCCTCCCTGGCTTGTTTTCTTCCAGTTCAGAAATGATTGCAAATGTAAGTTCCTTGTTCTTAGGTCTTTACAATGCCTCTTATCCTTCCTTAGGCTTACTGGCCTCCTAACCCCATGGCCCAGTGTACCATTGACTTTCCAGCTCACGTGGGCTATAAGAAGGTACACTGGAATGCCACTGAATGTTTAAGCTGAAAGTTACCATAGAGATCATCTAGTCTGACCAACTCATCTTGCAGACGAGGAAACTGAGGCACAGAGAGGGAGGACTCAGTTCCTTGCTCTGCTTCTTCCTATGCCTGTGATTTTAGGTAAAGCATTTCCTTCTTGGGGCCTCAGTTTCTTCCTCTATAAAAGTGCATTCAATTAGATGGTTTGTAAAGCCCCTTCTAGCTCAAAATTCTATTTTCTGACACCCCTAGAAAAGGAAGAAGAGTTCCTCGAGGGGCCCAGGTACAGTTTTGATGGAATGGTCTGTGAGGGCCTCTGTACCCCTGTAGTTCACTCATTCTGCGACTTGTCCAAGGTCACACAATGAGTTGGTGACTGAGCTGAAACCAGAGTTGAGGTCTCTGAGCCAATATCAGGGCTTTATCAACATACCAGACCTGATAGCATGTCTTTTATGGATATTTAAGTCTTTTCTCCCTGAGGAAATGGTAAACCCTTTGGGAGCAGGGACTGTGTCCTTGTAACCTGCCCCATGTCCATCCCCATTGGCTGGCACTGAGCCCTGTACAGAGAAGGCTTGTGATTGAGGGATTCACCCCCTTTGGCAGTCAGACAGATTCCAGCTTGGTCTTCTTTTCACCGTTACTGCATCATCACCTATAGAAATGATCCTTTGCTAGCTTACTGATGAGTATGAAAGGATTCCTTTATTGTGGTACAGGTCAGGGGGTTCCTCAATGAGAATATTAACTCTTTGTGGGTGCCTCTTTGCAGGTCATTGCCAATCTGTCTGCTTGTGATCCACACAGTTCTGCCTCCATGGTGCAGTGCCTTAGGAGCAAATCTGAGGGAGAGATCCTGGCCATTACCAAGGTATGAAAGCTGAGAAGCAAGGGTTCCAGTACGAACAAGAACTGCCAAAACAGCTCAGGGCAGGGCTGGGCACTCAACCTTTATGAGGTGGGATTGAGGTGAAGATCTTGGGAATGTAAATCTCTTACCCTCCATTTCCTCCTACTCACTAGATGGACTTCAAGGATATTTCCACCTCCAATATTCTATGTCCAAAGGTCTCTTCTAGGTCTAATGTTTTGCTCTCTAGGACCTCTTCTACCTCCAAACATTTTTTGCTCTCAACTTTTATTTTGGATGCTAACGTTCCATTCCTTCTACTCTGGACATACTATGTCTAAGAATCCTTTCAAAATTTTGTGTTCTAAATATCACAGGTTCTAAGTTTCTAAGCTTTTTCATTGTCTAGTCTCATAACCTTTTCTCCTCAAACATTCTCTGTTTAAAGAATCATAGCTTTAGAGCTAGAAGGGTCCATCTGAATCTGATTCAAACATTCTGGGTTCCAACATTATTTGTTTCAAGATTCCGTCCCCTGCTGATATTCAATTTTATTAGATTTTCCCCCAGCATTTCCAAAATTCTATGCTGTAACACTCTATAAGCTAAGGTATGGAGGATGTAGCTAGGTGGTTCAGTGGTTAGAGTGCTAGGAAAACTGACCTGAGTTCAAATCTAGCCTCAGACATTAACTGTCATTGAACTTGTTTGCCTCAGTTTCCTTATCCATAAAATGGGAATTATAATAACACCTCCTTCCCAGGGTTGTTGTGAGGATCAACTGAGATAATAATTGTAAAGTGCTTATTAGTACAGTGCTGGGCATATAGAGAGCATTAAATGAATGTTACGATGATGATGATGATGGTGGTGGTGGTGGTGGTGGTGGCGGTCCCTTCTAGCTCCAATATTCTGTTCTCTGTAACCTTTCAGATCTAACACCCTATGGGTCTTTAGAAGAAAGAATCAGTTCAGGGAAGGCTTTCTCTATCCCCTGGGACTGATAGCTCTCATCTAAATGTTCCTTTTATAAAAAAAATACATTTTATATATATTATCTCATTTCAATAATTTGGCAACAATCATGTACCATTTGTAGTACAAGTATAATGTCATTCCCAAATTACAGACTTGGGAATTAGAGCCATGGAATAGAAGCAGGGTGAGGTCAGGGAGCTATTTGTTTTTGTATTTGTATCCTCAGAGCCTAGAATAGTTCGGGGATTGATGTATTGACTGGATATTTTACAAAGGAGGAAACCGAGTCCCAATGGGGTTAAGTGACTTGGACAAATCTCACACAGCTTGAAAAGTATCAAGATGGATACCTGACCCCAGGCCTTTAAGGCCACAATCTTTATTCACCACATCATGTTACTTCCTCAAAGACTTGGAGTTCTTTGCCTGTACTCACTTAGTTGTAACTGTGTTACACTAGATCTAATTCTATCTAATTGTTCAGTTTTTTTTCAGTCATGTCCAATTCTTCATGACCCCATGTGGGGTTTTCTTAGCGAGGATACTGGAGTGCATTGCCATTTCCTTCATCAGCTCATTTTACAGATGAGGAAACTGAGGCCAATACATTTAAGTGACTTACCCAGGGTCACACAGCTAGTGTCTGAGGCCAGATTTGAACTCAGGAAGATTCCAGCTCACTTGGGCTATAAGAAGGTGCACTGGAATGCCACTGAATGTTTAAGCTGAAAGTTACCATAGAGATCATCTAGTCTGACCAACTCATTTTACAGATGAGGAAACTGAGGCACAGAGAGGGAGGATGCTTTACCTAAAATCACAGGCATAGGAAGAATCTTTCTGCCTCCAAGTCAGCACTCTGTCCACTCTGCTACCTAGCTCCCCTTAAATCTAATTATTCTTTCCATCATCCATGTTGACTTCTTCCTTCATTCTGAAAACTATTGTTTTTCAACCTGATTTGATGACAGTTTCCTCATCTGGAAAATGAGAGGGTTGGACCAGATGATCTTCTGGAGTACCTTCCAGCTCTAAATCTATAACCTTATGAACATCCTTTCCAAAGCACCTGGGAGCTCAAGTTTCATTTTGGTCACAGCGAATGTCAAGGAGATGGGAGAAGAAAGGATTCCTGATTTTCAGGCAAACCCAAGCCTGGTATTCAGATACTGAATGGCTTGGTGCCTCCGTGGCTTTCTTGCCTTGTCTTATATTACCTCCCTGCATACACTCTATGCTCCAGTCAAACTCATCTGTCCTCAGTCTTCTAAATATTTCACCAACATTCCTCTTACCTGCCTGCCTTTGTTCAGGTGTGTCTTATGTCTGTAAAGTCCTCCCTTCTTATTATCATACTGGTTTACAAAGTGCCTTTCTCATAACAATCCATGAGGTAGGGAGTGCAAGAATCATTATTTCCATTTTATAGATGGATAAATCATGAGGAGGTCTCAGTGAATAGAGAACCAGTGCTGGAGTCAGTCACTTCAAATCCAGCCCCTGACACCTACTAGCTAGCTGTGTGACCCTGGGCAAGTCACTTAACCTCTGTTTGCCTTAATCTCTAATAGAGAAAAAAAATGGCAAACCACTCCAGTATCTTTGCCAGAAAACCCCATGGATAGTATTATTGTGCTATGGTCCACAGGGTCCATAAATGTATATAATTTGCTTAAAGTTATACAGTCTGTTAGCAGTTGAACCAGGACTGGAATCCAGATCCATTGACTTTGAGGCCGTGGCTCTTCTGCTGTTTATTCCAGAGGCATTTCTGGAGCAGCTTCTGTGTCCAGCCTGGGGGGACACAAAATTTGGATAAAAGATGGGTCCATGATGGAACTCCCCTTTTTAGGGCAGAGCGCTTTATGTCATATGCAAGTAACAGAACCTAAATCCACACAGGGTGTCAGAAGCACGTGAGGTGAGAACTCAAGGAAAGGAAAAGGTCCTTCTGGCTGCCATATCAGGGAAAGTTTTGTGGAAGATATGGGAGTTACATTAGCTCTTGAAGGAAGTGAAGAATTTCAGCAGGTAGCAATGGGGGAAAGGTCATTCTGGCCAAGTGGAGAGAAGTGAGCCAAAGCAGAAAGGTAGGAAATGGTGGTTGACTTTCAGTGGATACCCAAGAATCTATTCTTGGTGAAACATAAGGTACTTGGCACAGGCTAGAGTTCACATATTATGAGATAAGACTGGAAAGGTAGAAGAGAGGGATCTGAATGCCAGGCTGAAGTGTTAAAGGTCTTCTTTGGGCAATGAGGAGTCATGGGAATTTTTTCTTAATGCAATGGATTACCATGAGCAAATCTGAGATGAGGAAGGGGTGGGTCTGTGTGTGTGTGTTTGTGTGTGTGGGTTTGAGTGTGAGTGAGTGTGTGTGTGTGTGTGTGTGTGATAAATTAGATGGGGAAACAGGGAGGACACTTTGGAAACTATTGCAAGAGTCCAGATAAGTGGGGACATCTAGGTGGTGCAGTGGAGAGAGCACTAGTCTTAGAGTTAGGAAAACCTGGGTTCAAATCCATTCTCAGACACTTACTAGCTGTGTGAACCTAGGTAAGTCATTTAACTTTGATTTCCTCCCAAAAAATAGATAAAAAAAAGGGAGTCCAGGTAAGTGACAAAAAGAGTCTAAAATAGAATAGTTACAATGAGAATGATGAGAAAGATACACTGAAAGGGGATTGTGGAGATAGACTTGCCTTTTTTTTTCTCCTTTCTTTAGCATTTCAAGTTAGTCCCCAGTGTAATTGATGGACAATTCTTCCCCAAACATCCTGAAGAGTTGCTGGCTGCAGGAGAGTTCCACCACGTCCCTTCCATCATCGGTGTCAACAACCATGAATGTGGCTGGGTTATTCCTGTGGTAAGATCCTAGCATGTTCTATTCTGTGCCAGCTTCTTTCTGATCTCGAGAGTTTATGCTGCTCTAAAGAATCACAGACTTTCCGAGGTGGTCAGGACCTTGGTGGCCATGAGTCTAGGCCAGAGTTGAAGGAGAATTCTATCTATAACTCACTGGACAAATGGCCATCCAGCCTCTGCTTGCAGACCTCCAAGGAGGGAAAACCTCCTGCCTCCTGAGGCAGCTCCTTCCACTTTAGGTAGCTCTTAGGGTTGGACAGGGCACCATGCCATCAAGCGGAAATTTACTTTTATTTTTTAACACTTATACCAGTTTTTCCCAGCTCTGCCCTTAGGGCAAATGGCCCCAGATAAATGCCTCTTCCAGGGGATCATCCACCAGACCGTTAAAGACAACTACCAAGTCTGCCCTGCCATAAGGTTTTTCTTTGACCAGCAAAGCAAGTTCCTTTAACCCATCCCTATATGGCAAGCCCGTGACACCCTTCTCAGTGTCCCTATTTTCTTCCTCAAATGTGATGCTCAGAACTGAATGAAAGATTCCAGATATATAGTTATCCCTTCCACATTGGGGTGCAATGCCCCCACGATCTGGAAAATCCATATAATATTTTTGGCCCCTGACCTTCATACCAGAGGAGAAGACTGAATTAGTATGGTATTAAAAATAGCATATGTTTATATTGTACAATACTATACACATATTTTATTTATTTCTGAATTTCTAAACTTTTTCCGTGTCATCCGCTGGCCTTTGCCTGTCATCTATGAATTCCACAAACTCCCAAAACATTCCCATTTAATTTCTTATGCTTACCTACAATATATCACAGTCATGATGAGAAAAACTGTGATGTATTTACAAAAACTTCTTTCAATGTACTGAGGTAGAGACCATTAAGATGACTATCCCCATTTTGTAAAGTAGAGAACTGAGGCTCCCAGAAAGGACATGATTTAACCCTAGTCACACAGCTGGGACTAGAACCTGGGCCTCCTGATGGGAGACTATGGACTTCAGGTCATCATATCTAAAGGCCATTGGCTCAATATTAATTTTAAATATGACATGATATTAACAACCACTTGTCAGCTGCCTCCTTAAGCACATGCATGTAAAGTAGGCCTACTTACACTAGTCAGAAAAATAGACTTCTACCTGCATCATTTGTAGCATAATGTATTAGAGTAAGCATCGGTCATTGTCTAAGGCCATAAGGTCTAAGGACATAAGGTCATTATGAAGAAAACATGACGGCTGTTTATTATGTACTGGGCATTACCTGCCATTTTGCTGGCCATTTTGCAAAATAACTTGAGAATTGTTCAGTGTGTATTGGGTATTATTCAGTAATTACTAAACAAATCTATGGCACTAGTTCCTCCTTAAAGGGTAAAATGACTTCCTTGGATTAGATTTGTTTAAAAAATGCATAAATTTCATAAAGTTCTAAAAATCATTCACAGCGTGCCATTTTTCTCTACACAGGAAATGGGCATTCCTGGATTTAAGGAAAACATGGATAAAGAAACTGTCCAATCAGTATTGCAAAGTTCATTTTTGGTGAGATACCAGTTAATCAAGATTCTTTTTATAAGCACCTACTACCTAGCAGGCACTGGGCTTGACACAGGGACAAAGAAAAATAGTCCCTGCCCTCTAAGGACTTACATTGGATGAGGGAGATAACCTGCACATCCAGAGACAGATGGAAAACATACAGAGAGAAAATCTTGGGGGAGCGGTAAGGCACTAGAAGCTGAAGGAGGGAGGAACCAAGAAAGATGTTCTATATAAGGTACTGTTTGAGCTGAGGCTTGCCAAAGCAAAGGCATGGAGATGAGAGATGGAATGGGAAGTGTGAGGAACCAGAAGGTTGGTATACCTGGACCACAGAGTGTGAGGAGGATAATCATGTATAATAAGACTGAATGGGACCATGTTATTAAAAGCTCTAAATACCAAATGTGAGAGTTGACATTTAATCCTAGAGGTAATGGACATCCACTAGAATTTATTTAGTTAGGGAAGAGGAGTAAAATGGTCAGATCTGGGCTTGGAAAATCACTCTGGAAGATGAATGGAGGCTAGATTGGAATGGGGAGAGATCTGAGGCACAGGGACCAATCAGGAGGCCATTGAAATAGTCCAGGAGAGAGCCAATGAAGGTCCTTCCACCTTCTGACTTTCTTCTTTCATAGTCACAGAGTGGGAAGGGACCTTGGAGACCCCATGTAGCTCTCTCCTTTCCTCAAGCCCCATATCCCTTCTACACCATGCCCAACAACTAGTTGTCTAGGATCTTCTTGAGAAATTTAACCTTGAAAGAGTAAGCCCTGGTGGGGAGGTGGTAAAGTGATCTAATGAGACCCAGGACCCATGAATAGCAGGTAAACTTATTCCTGCTTATTAAGTGGGCTTATTCCTTGTGGTTGTTAATTGATGAGTCACGTCAGACTCTTCGTGACCACTTTTAGGGGTTATCTTGACAAAGATACAGGAGTGGTTTGCAATTTCCTTCTCCAGCTCATTCTACAGAGGAGGAACTGAGGCAAACAAGATTCAGTGACTTGCCCAGGGTCACCTAGCTAATACATGTCAGAGGTCACATTTGAATGCGGGTCTTTCTAACTCTAGGGCCAGAGTTTATCCACCGCGTCACTTAGCTCCCTTGCTTATTCCTTACAATCAACCAACAAACATTCCCACACAATCCACTGCCAGGTATGTTTGCTTTTCTGTTACTCTCTCTCCTCCTGGGTCTCCTATAGGGTATTCCTCCTGAGCTTGGGCAGCTGATGATGGAAGAGTATTTAAAAGACACTGAGGACCCGGGAGGTTATCGAGCTCAATTCCAGGATATGATGGGGGATTCGATGTTTGTTATTCCTGCCCTCAAACTGGCCAAATATCAACACGGTGAGTATGGCATTGACCCTTTCCAGAACCAGTGTAAGAACATCTCCTCTCTGGGGCAATGTGTGTATGTCACCCACGCACTCATGCAGAAGGAGGCTCCCACTTTGGGCTTTGCTATTATAACCTCCAGAGTGGTTAAACCCTCTTGTTCACCTTCCTTCTTCTTCCTTCCTACCCCTACCTAACCCCAGCCAGAGGAGGCGGAGGAACTCTATAACCATTGTCTACAAATAATAATAATAAATAATAACCCACATTTCCTAAGCAGATGCTCTTAACTATTTTGTGGGTATGTATTATGGACCTCTTTGGAAGTCCAGGGAAAATTAAAAATTCCTTCTAGAGTAATGTTTTTAAATATATAAAATACAATACACAGGATAGAAAACCAATTAGATTGAAATGCAGTAATCTAAGTGCTCAACTAAAAATAAATTTCAGAACCCCTGACAGACTGTTTTATGTTATAGTACTTGTATTCTAAAGCACTTAGCACAGTGTCTGGCCCAAAGCAGGTGTTCTATAAATGTTATTCATAGGGCAGCTAGGTCCCTCTTCCTGACTTCCTGACTCCTCTTCCTGAATTCAAATCTGGCCTAAAACACTTATTAGTTGTGTGACCTTGGGTAAGTTGCTTCACACTCTTTGCCTCAGTTTCCTCATTGGTAAAATGAGCTGGACGAGGAAATGGCAAACTGCTCCAGCATCGTTGTCAAGAAAACCTCAAAAGAAATCATGAAGAGTTGAATATGTCTGAAAAATAACTGAACAACAAATGCTTATTTCCTTCCTCCCTCTTCCCGTGGGATAGACAGGCCAGAGATTAGTATCTCCACCCTACACTTGAAAATTCAGCCTAAAAGAAGTAAAAGGATTCCCCCAAAGTCTTGTAGTTGATCAATAGCAGGTCCTGTTACACCAAACCCAGCCCTTCTCCTGCCTCACAGTATCACTCATGGACAGGATTTGCTAAGGGGCTGCCCTCTTGGAGCTTGCCTGTTAATGGCCAGTTACCATCGACACCCGCACCCCAAAGGAGGGAATCAGGCCAGGGGCCCCTGGCATGTGGCCCGGCCCTGCGTTCAGTGTGAAAATAACCGTGGGCATTTCTTTGTTTGCGTAGGTCCCAGCTCTCCAGTCTACTTTTATGAATTTCAGCACCGACCAAGCATGTTTAATGGAATCAAGCCGGATTTTGTGAAAGCAGACCATAGCGATGAAGTGCTTTTTGTCTTTGGAGTGCCTTGTAAGCAGTGGAGCCGGGATGGAGTGGAAAGCTGTGGCTCAGGATGGGGGACTCTCACCCACCTTCTCCATCATCTACTTTATTCTCTCTGACATCATAACAAACAATAATGCCTTACCTTTTCCCAAAGCACCTTCCCATACATCAGCTCATTTCGTAATGATAATAACAATAGGTAAAAGTAGCTAGCATTTATATACTGCTTGAAGGCTTACGAAGAACTTTGTATATGCCATTCTCATTTGATAGCCTCAAAACAGCCCTGTGAAGTAAATGCTGGTGCTATCCCCATTTTACAGATGAAGAAACAGAGGCCAAGAGTCACAGAGCTAGTTAAGGGTCTGAGTCAGGATCTGAACTCATGGTTTCTTGGTTCTACATTCAGTACTCAGTCTACCTATCATCGAGCTGCTATTTTATCTTCCCAAATACCCTGTGAGGGTCTGGGTCGGGGGAAGGGAGGGATTGTGTCTGTTGTACAGAAGAGGAAAGTGAAGTTCAGAGACAGGAAGACACATCCAATATCACACAGTTAGCAGGTCTAAGCCCAAATCCAGCGTTCTTTCTGCCTTTCCCGGTTCCCTTAGGAGCAACTGAACAGGGGCCCTGTTGCCTGAGAAGAGTTTTTGGTTTTATTTATTATTTTTTGCATTTGTATCTCCAACCCTTGGCACAGTGCCAGGGACAGAGGAGGCAGTTAATAGTTACCTGGCTGACTGAGTGATTGGTGGTTAAGGTATCAGGCTTGGAAGTCCCCCAACTCAGTCTGCTTGTTCAGGTGAACTGAATCAGGAGGTGGATTCAGCTATTCAGTTCAATTCAGTTTATATGATTAAGCACATGCAACATGCAGAGCCTCTGTTCATCTCTAGGGAAGGCAAAAAGATAAAAAAGACACAGTGTCTGACTTCTTGGAGTTTACTACCCAGAAGGGAAGATGAGGCACAAACACAAAATACACATTTCCATATGTCAATGGACTAGTAACCTCACCAATACCCTCATCATCTCCTCTGGGTAGACCCCTAACCTGTTACACCGTCTTATCCTGTGATTCTTGTCCTTGTGCTTCCATAAATCCTGCAAAACCAATCTGCCCAATGTGCTGGAAGTCTTCCCTCCCTCCTTTCCTCCATCCCTCCCTCTCTCTCGTCCTTCCTTCCTTCTTCCCTCCCTTCCTTCCCTCTCTCCTTTCCTTCCTTCCTTTTCTCCAGTTATTCTTGATTCACTTTCTCTACCAGTACATCCATTTGGGGATTGTTGGACAAAAGTCTCACATTTAACAATGTTTGGAGTTAATGGTATAGATGGTCCCAAATCTGCGTTTTTGGAAGTCTTCTCTCCCTATTTTCACTTTCTTGCTCCTGTCCTGGGAGAACTGGAAGGCCAGTTTATCCATTTATCTGTTTCATGACTTGCATGGCCAATGAATTCATCATCTTATGACCTGGTTGCAGCTGCTGAGCCTGTCTGCACTGCCCCAGGCAGGGGTCCTTAATGGCAGCATCGTCTGGGGAAGGAGTCATATGCAAAGGCTTTGCAGTTACTAGAGCTTGTGCTATGCTGTTGTAGCTTAGAGTAATGATATTTATTACTATAAATGGCATTTATAACAATCATGCCATCACTATAATTACATATGATAAAATATTATTGTATAATAATATAAATATAATTTAATAATGATAGGTGGCATTTATGGAACACTTTTACAAGTTATGTAAACTGTTCTGTAAATATATCTTCTTTTGTTTACTGTCCCAACAATCCTGGGGCATAGGTGTGTTATTATTATCCCCATGTTTTGAACAAAGAAACAAAGGCAGACAGAGGTTAAGTGACTTGCCCAGGGTCACTCTTCTAGTCAACATCTCAGCCTAGATTAGAACTCGAGTCTTCCTGATTTCCAGTCCAGTTGCACCACTTTGTTTTTGGGCAGAGACTCAGTTATGGAGTCAGACAGATGAGGCCAACAGAAGCCCTGGGATGTCTTCTAGAAGGGGAGTGACATGATGGAAACTGTGGAAGGAAGATCAGTTCAGGGGCCAGAGCAGGACTGACTGGGTGGGTGGGGCTGGAGACTGGGGGAAAGGAGGCCTTTGGGTCTGCATTTTGGCCTTAGCCAAGATCTTTCTTTTTCTGTTCCTAGATTTAGGCGAGGCAACAGAAGAGGAAAAACTCCTCAGCCACAGGATAATGAGCTACTGGGCAAACTTTGCCCGTCACGGGTAAGAAAACTGCCCCTTGGTTTCCCCATGGTTTCCCTGTGGGGTAGTGCCTGTTCCTAGGCACATAAAGGTTTCCCACTTACACAGAAGTTCCCTGATTGAAATCTGTTCAGGGAAAAAAAAAGTTAATTCAACCCAGAGGTCAGGTCTGGTGAACAAGCATAGCCCTTCCCCAAGTTCATGGCCAGGGTTGGGGAAGGCATTACTTAGGCACACTCACCCTACACATGGGCATCTTGAAAGGAATACAAGAAAGATCAGCACCTCTCCTGGCCCACACCACTGCCCTCGAGTGTTAGTGACTTCTCTTCCCCCTTGGGAACCATTAGGACAGGTGGCAGTGGCACGAGCCTTGGATGTGGAGTCCAGTGATGTTGTGTTTGAATCTTGGTGACCCCATCTGGAGTTTTCTTGGCAGAGATACTGGAATGGTGTCCACTGGCCAACCACTCCATTTTGCCATTTCCTTCCCCTTTCCTCATCCTTCTGCAGATGAGGAAACAGAGGCAAACAGGGTTAAATGATTTGCCCAGGGTCACACAGCTAGTAAGTATCTGAGGCTGTAATTGAACTCAGATCTTCCTGACTCCAGGCCCAGGTTTATCCACTACATCACACAGCTGCTCAAAAGAAATTGGAGTCTCATGATATGAGTTCAAATCCTGACTTGGCTACTTATTCCCTATGTGAGTCCTTTCACTCTTTGGACCTTCCACCTTAGGTGCATGAGAAAGGTGCAACATGAAAGGTGAAGACCAAACTGCTTAAGGATGGGTGACCAAGCTCTCCATGGGTGCTACCACTGACAGCTTACACCTACCTTGGGGCCCCTTCCTTGGCTCCAGGCTGAGCTGATGGTAGCTTGCTACACTTGTCAATGCAATCCCCCTTTCAGTTGTAAATGTGTGGTTTTTCCTCCCAGGGACCCAAATGGTGCAGACCTTATTCGCTGGCCAGTCTATGACCAGAAAGAAGAGTACCTGCAGCTGAATTTGCAGCTGTCTGTGGGAAAGAGCCTGAGGAAGGATAAGTGGGAGTTCTGGACCAAGACCTTGCCTCAGAAGATGAAGGAATCACAGCCAGAAAATGCCCGGGTGGAGTTGTGATCTCTAAGCACAACTGTTTTTGCAACAGTTGCAGACCAATGACACCCAATCACTTCTTTTGAGTAGTTCCTTGGCCTCAGCTAAAGGATATTGCAGTTTTGAGTGAAATACTTTGACTCTCACTCATTACTCTTAAGAGAGAAGAATTTAAATGATATTCAGAAGGAAAAAAGTATTAATATTGTGACTACCATATGCCAGCCACTGTTCTAAGGAAACACTTTTACAAGTGTCACCTCATTTGAAAGGGACCTTCCAGTTCTGAGACAGTGGGAATCTGATGAGACCAGTCAATCCACCCTGTCTCTAGAGGAAAAAAACCCTAGTTCGTTTCATTGAATTATAGTGGAGATGGTTTTATTGTCTATCATTGTACCCCTAGGGAACTTGATAGGGAAAGAATTAATGCGTGTTGATTCATTGAATGACTGATTTAGAGCTGGAAGAGATATTAGAAATCATTGAACAAGAATGAACACTGAGGCACACAGAAAGGAAAGGACTTGTCCAAGGAGACGCAGACACTAAGCAGCCAGGTCGTCTGACTCCGAATCTGAGCCTCTTCTCACTACATTGATCTACTGGATGTTTCTGCCCTGCTTCATCAGTTTCCTAGCATTTTCCAGATAACATTTCTACGACGAGATAATGTGGGACACTGTGGGTCCTGAAAACAAAACTTCATGATAATACCACAAGTCAAGTGATTCCTTATTTGCAAACGAGCAGCCCACATTCAATGTAGTTCTTCTACAGGGTTTCTTTCATACAGAAAAAAAATGCAAAATCAGAGGAAATGCTTCCTCTACTCTGATTAATTATACTAACAAGATATCTCACAATATCAAAATATCACGATACATGCAGAGGTGTGCTGGTCAATGTTTAACAACCAGTTGTCTGAAAAACCCACAAGACATACTTTTAACTTATATTATTCACATTATCTCCATCACTTTCTTAAAGTTAGAAATCAACAAAACAATGACCTAAACCCTAATTTGTAGTGGATGCCAATTATGAGGTGTAAATGCTCATGCTGAAAATTTAACAACCAGCTCTGGTACAAGTTGGCTCTAGCCCTTCCCTGGGATACAGGCACACATGGCAGTAAAACATTTTCTTCATCAAAAAAAATCAAATATTTAGCTATTAAAACCTTTTCTGTCACTAAGAAGTGTTTGATTAAGAAAATGAGGCAGTTGATATAGAGTTCAGGCAATTAAGGAAGGATACAGATGACAGAGTGTGAGGATAGGTAGGTGGCCAGGTCTCCTCACGTGTGGACCTTACAATAGCCTGCAGCCCAGTTTCTCCTGCCTCAGTTTTCTTCCCACTCCAGCCCATTCTCCATTCAAATCTGACCTTGTCACCCCCTATGTGATAAACTCTAGTCATTCCCTTTACTTCTAGGATCAAATATTAAACCCTTGTCTGGCTTTTAAAGACCTTCAGAATTTGGCCCCTCCCCACTTTTTCCTGCACTTTACTGCCTCTCCCGTACTCTTTGGTCCAGTGACATTTGCCTCCTTGGTGTTCCTGGAACAAGATACTGGATCTCTGGGTACTGGGCACTCTCTCTGGCTGCCCCCATGCCTGGAATGCTCTCCCTCCTCCTCTGCCCCTCCTGGCTTCCTTCAAGCTCAGCTAAAATCTCACCTTTTGACAGAAGCCTTTGCTAAGATCATCCCCTAGTTTGCCTTGTGTATGTTTATCCATAGGTGTTTGCAGCTTGTCTCCCTTCATTAGATTGTGAGCTCTGTGAGGACAGTTTTTTACCTCTCTTTGCATCCCCAGTGCTTGAGTGCCTGGTGTGCTCTACTTGACTTGTCACCCACCAGCTATGTCATAATAGAATGTCTTTTTCCTTATGAACTCAGTGGGAATAATAAAGATGACACCACTGACCTGCCAGAGTTATTCTGAGCACCAGAGAGTATTCAAGCTGGACAAGAGCTTAAAGAATATCTGATGCAGGGGCAGCTAGGTGGCACAGTGGATAGAGAACTGGCCCTGGAGTCAGAAGACCTGAGTTCAAATCCAGCCTCAGACACTTACTAGTTGTGTGACCCTGGGAAGTCACTTAACTCAATTGCTTAAAAAAAAAAAGAATGTCACTCCAACCCACTCATTGTACCACAAAGGACTCATGAGCCCAGAACATGTTCCTCACCCAAAGTCACACAGCTAAGAAGAGGTTGTTCAGGGGGTCCATCTCAGGTCTTTAAGTCCTTCAATTTTTTTTTTTTTTAAGTGAGGCAATTGGGGTTAAGTGACTTGCCCAGAGTCACACTGCTAGTAAGTATTATGTGTCTGAGGACAGATTTAAACTCAGGTCCTCTTGACTCCAGGGCCAGTGTCCTATCCACTGGACCACCTAGCTGCCCCAAAGTCCTTCACTCTTAAACACGTCATCTGAATCAAGCTTCACTGTTTTCAGACTTAAGCAGCATCATCATTACAAGACTCTTGTAGTTTGCTGGGAAAATAGAAAGAATAACAAAGAAGAATGCTCTGTGTTTTATATCCTATTTGGATGGATATTTATTAACCATAATTAATTATAATAATAATAAAATAAATATAAATAATAATAAAATATATATATAAAATATATATAAAAAATAAAATAAAAATAAAATAAAAATAAATTTACATTATACCTACTATGTGCCAACCACAATACTATGCACTAACCACAATACTATGTGCTTTACAACTATTATCTCAATTATTCATCACACTAACCCTGTGAGGGAGGTACTACTATTTTCCCTATTTTAGAAATGAAGAAACTGAGGTAGACAGAGGTGAAGTGACATGCCCAGAGTCATACAGCTAGCTGGCTATGTTGTTCGAATGCCAGATGGAGGTTTGTCTAAAAGACTATTTTTCAGAGAACTCATGCAAGGCAGGTGCTCACATGGAGGTCAGAAAAAGTGATACAAGGACACTCTCAAGGTCTCTCTGAAGAAGTTTGGGATTGCATGATGTGAGAGATACTGGCAAAAGACTGCCAAGCATGGCGTGCCTGCATCAAAGAAGACCCTGTGCTGTATGAGTGAAGCAGAATTGCAATAGCTCAAAAAAAAAAACAAAAAAAAACATGAAATGCACAAATTTAGAGACATCTCTGTTCCAAATGTCCAAATGCACTATTTGTGTCTGACCTGTGGTGGACCCTTCTGAGCTCATATTGGGCTGCTCACACACACACTCTGTACCTTGACTCCAACATAGTGATGTCATTTTTCATCCTCTTGGAGAACAAAGGACAATGACTGACCAACTAAGTGTCTGAATTGGGATTTGAACTCAAGTCTTCCTGATTCCAAGTCCAGTGTTCCATTCATCCACTGTACCATAGAACTTGACATCTTTTGGAAGGTTCCCTTTTCTTTTTTCATCCATGTAGTTCTAGCTGCATTCCAGCTTGGAGGAAGCTGATTGAGCTGGATTCACTTAAGGGCATCCAGTCCCAGGTCCTGGAACAGCTATTTAAACAGTTCCCACTGCCCTGGGGACAATTCTTGGCATGATGTCAATGGAAAGCAAACAACCCAGGAGGGAAGGTGTGAGAGCTCCATCATTTGATTGCTCGGGACCTCACTGGCAGCTCCTACTCTCTATTGGCTGAAGACTGGCAGGGGAATAGAATTGCAGAATTGCAGAATTGGAAGGGCCCACAGAGATCACTGGTCCAATCTATACCCAAACAAGAATCCCGTTCTGTTGTTTTTGTCCTTCCTTCTCAGAGGACCATGACATCAGAAAGGTGGTGCTCTAATGTGCAAGTGAATTAGATTTAAATGACAGAGGACTATGCAAAATCATCAACCTCACTTTTTTTTTTTTTTTTTTGCTTTTTGGTGAGGCAATTGGGGTTAAGTGACTTGCCCAGGGTCACATAGCTAGCAAATGCCAATTTACTTTCTTTTCCAGATGCAACTGGGTCCAGTGGCAAGATATAAATCAGGATGACTGGATATGTCCCCAGATGAAGTGAGAGACCTTGACCTTTTTAAACTAAGGTCTTTCCCAGGCCTCAGTTTGACTGAGGCAAGCCCCATTCAGTGATTAAGGCTAGGTAAGAAATGAGGTAAATAACAACCTCAAAAAAATCAGTCTGGGAGGGAAAGACCCTCAGGAGCGTTTCTGGCCAAAAGAGAAACAGTGGCTATTTACATTCACTCTGAGCCATCAGGACCCAAACAGTGACTAAGTGAGGGCATGTTTGTGTGTGTGTGTGTGTGTGTGTGTGTGTGTGCGCGCGCACCACACACATATGTGTGCATATGTATGTGTACATGTGATTGCCCTACATTCTCGAAGAGGACCAAAATGACATCATTATGTTAGAGTCATGTTACAGTACGTCTGACTACAGCTTATCAGACCAATATGAACTTGGAATGCTCTACCAGAGGTGGGGCACAAACAGTTCATACGAACATTTGGGGTGGATTTCCTGAATTTGTGCATCTTGGGTTTCTTTTGAGTTACGTCAATTCTGCTTTCCTCATAGAGCACTGAACCTTCTCTGATGAGGGCAGGCCACGCTGGGCAGTCCTGTGCCAGTGTCTCACATGTCATGCAATCAATTCCAAAGCTCTTATGTGAGACCTTGAGACTGTCCTTGCATCACTTTTTCTGATCACCATGTGAATACTTGCGCTGTGTTAGTTCTCCATAAAATAGTCATTTAGGCAATTGTACATTTGGCATTGGAACAATGTGGCCAGCTGATCAGAGTTGTGCTCTCTGCAGTGGGGAAGGGAAGGAAAGTGAAGGGAGAGAAGAGAGGGGAGGGGGAGAGGAAGGAGAGGAGAGAGGGATGGTCGGTTAGGGGAGGGGGAGAGAAGGTAAAGGAAAGGGAAGCAAAGGGAAGGGAATGGAAGGGAGAAGAAAGATAGGAGCTGCATTGCCCAACTGGAACTGACCACTTGGTCCCCAATGGGCAGCTTGGACTACTCACAGGTTGTTGTTTGTGCTTTATTCACAAAGAAGACTATGACATCTGCAAGGTGATGCCATGGCTTACAAGCAAATTAGATTTTATGTGAGGAAGGGCTGGACAAAGCCACCAGCCTCACCTTCTCCTCCAGAGCCATCTGGGTCCAGTATCATGATATAGATCACGATGACTGGAGATGACTGGCCCCCAGTATATGATAGAGCAGGGTTATAAACCCAGGTCTCCCTTGACTTCAAGCCCAGCCTTCTTTCCACAACACTGATTGTTGCTTCTCAGTGGTATGGTACAATACTCCAAAGATGTATCATGTCAACTAAGTGCAGAGGATTATGATGGATGGTGGAAAGGATACAAAATTTAAGTGAGATGCACTTTCCCTCAGGGAGCTTACAGTCTAATGGAGGGGGAGGTTTAGGATACTGAACAAACAACAAACATTTATTAGGTGCCTACTATGTGCTAGATATTGTGCCAGGAGCCAGGGTACACATACAAAGAATGAAACAATCCTGATTTTCCAGGAGTTTACATCCTAACGGAGAAATTAATAAGTATCTATATAAGTATATGAAGAGAATAAATACAACACCAATAGAGCTCACTATAATACATCCTATTAGATGGGGTTGGATGGATTTGGCCAACTTTTCCATGCTAGTTTTGGGCACCTGTAAATGTAACTCAAACACTTTGGGGAAGTTGCCTTCCTCTTCTTTGACCTGCTCTACATCAAATCCTCAAATCCCAGCCAGGAAGAAGCTTGTTGACATTTGCCACCATGCAATTAAATTCAATTCACTGCAATAGATATTTATTTAAAAAATCCACTGTATGTAGGTCATTGAGCAAGGAGCTGTGGGTAAATGAGAGTGAAAGACAGAAAGAAAGAAGGAAGGAAGGAAGAAGGGAGGGTAAAAGTGAGGAAGGAAGGAAGGGGAAAACGAAGAGAAAAAAATTAAGAAAAAGAGGAATAAAGCAAGAAAGAAAGAAAGAAAAAGAGGGTGAAAGGAATAAAGAGAGAGAAAAAAGAGTGGAAGGAAGAAGAAAAAGAGAGAAAGATGAAGGAAGAAAAAAAGAAACAGGAAGAGAAACCAAGAGAGGAAGGAGGAGGGAGAAACAAGAAGAGAAAGAGCAAAAAATGAGCCAGCAAGGAAGGAAGGGAGAAAAGAAGGAAGGAAGAAAGGAAGAAAGGGAGGAAGGAAGGAAGGAAGGAAGGAAGGAAGGAAGGAAGGAAGGAAGGAAGGAAGGAAGGAAGGAAGGAAGGAAAGAAGGAAGGAAGGAAGGAAGTATGAGAGATGATCTTTGAGGACCTCTCAGGAGTGAAGCCTCCTCAAAGAGTTAATCATTTGACCTTGTAAAGACACATGCTTTTCAACACGTCTTGTACTTTACCAGACCCCTCCCCCTTCCCAAACTTGTTTTTAGGCACATAGCAAGGAGGAATAACACCGCCCCCCTTTCTAAGACTGTTTCCCATTCTTTTTTTTTTGTCTCTAGGCAACTGTTTTTTGTTTTGTTTGCTCTCTCTTGCTGGGATAGACTTTCCGAAAATAGATAGTGCCCTCAAGGCTTGCACCAATGAGCTGAGAGGAAGGGGGTTAGGGAGGAGGAGTTGTGGTTATGAATCTATATAATGTGTCTCTGTTGACCACACCCTTGCACTCTCCCAGCAGAGCCATCTTAGGCGGACGGAGGCTGCCCTTTCTCGAGAAAGCTAATAAAGAAAATTTTCTTTTTGTTAATATCTCTTAGTCTCTGATTTATTGGTAAGTGTCTCTGTACCCCACACAGAAGGAAGGAAAGAAGGAAGGAAAAAAAGAAAGAAAAATAAAAAGAATTAAAGACTCTCTGTCCTCAGGGTATTGGGAGGACCCAGTACATATGAAAGTAAATATAAAATTTATGTAATGTAAGAGACAGAGACAAAGAGACAGAGACAGAGAAAACAAAGACACAGAGACAGAGTCAGAGACAGAGAGACAGAGACAAAGAGATGGAGACAGAGAGACAGAGCACCAACAGGTAGGAGCAGAGGGACAATCCTAGGTACAAGGTGGAACTTGAGTT